AACATTTGAAAATGTTCCACCACTTACATTTTGATGATTTTTCCTCTCATCAATAGCATATTACGTACTGTTTAATAGGATAAAAATTGGTTTGCATCCAACGCCCATAAAAGGGTGTATTCTCTAAAAAACACAGTTTTTGTGTCTAAAATGTTATCATCGAAAATGGCATTTTTGAGATTGTTTCTTCCATAAAACAGCCAAATGGCGCGATGGAAACATGATTTTTTGTCACAATCATGCCATGAATGTATTCTTTACGGTGACCATCATTTGATTAGATTTTCATTAATATTTTACATAACATGCACATTTTATCAACACTTAGACAGCTTCTGAAAGGTACAACTTTGAGGAGCCATAAAAAACAAACCAAGTGACCTAAATCTTTATACTTTATAGATTTGTGACCACAACGGCATGGGCAATGCACCACCAACAGGAAATTTGAATCAGAGAAGGGGCCGTTTTGGAAACCGGCCCTTTGTTCAAAGGCTTCTAGACAGCTTAATGTTCTTAAAAGAATTGGAGGGTTTTTTTTAACAAAACAAGGTAGGAGAGTCATATACAATTCTTTTATTATATCTAGTTTTCATTTCTGCCCACTGGTTTGGCATTTTACTAGCTTGAAATGTGTGAGAAAGATGGAAAAGATTCAGGAGCGTGCACTGAGATTCGTGGAGAGTGATTATGATTTAGTCAGCTTTTAAAATCTGCTAATAGTACTCTTTTACATGTTAAGAGGCTAAAAGATATGGGCTGTGAATTTTTTAAAATACTACACAAGATTTCTCCTAATTATATACGTGATTTAGTAAAACCAAGGGAATCTGCTTATGATCTCAGAAATGACTTCACAGTCAGCATCCCATCTGTAAAAACTACAAGGTAAGGGCAGAAATCCTTCTCGTTTGAGGCGGCCCGGGTGTGTAACAGTCTTCCAAATGAATCGCGGAGATGTGAATACTTCCCAGAATTCCGGAGGTTGGTCCGGACCTGGGATGGTCCCATCTGTACATGTTCCATCTGTACAAAGATGAAGGATAGATTTTTGGTTCTAGGTTGTGTTTTTTTTTGTTCTTATTGCTCCAGAAATAGTTGTCATGCACAAGTTTTAGTTCTTATAGTGATGCTTTACTTTCTTTTGTGTAATTTTTCTTTTATGCTGTAAATTCCTAAATATTGTTTCATAAATGTATGCATTGTTGTTTTAGGTTATGCTATATTAGCATGTATTCTGTCAATTTTTAGTTTTTGCCATATTGGCATATATGTACATTAGACTGAAACGTCTCTTAAAATAATTTACATGCTGCATGACCTTTATGTTCGCATGACCTTTAATTACCGTGTTATTTTACCTTTTATTCAACCATCTGTGATGCATGCTACCTTTGTGATATTTTATTGTTTCTATTAATTATGATTGTTAAAATAGTCGTAAGAATAGCTCTTCTGAGCTAAAGTTGCATTGTTACAAACAAGACTCTAAATAAAAATTCTTGTATCTTGTATCACTCCCGTGCCTTGGTAGTTTTTCTCCTGTCATTCCTCTCCTTCGTGTAATACTTTGATCACCTTGCCATCTAGGTTGAGGGACGCTAGCATAGAAAACACTTGCCAATACATTGGTGAAAACAAGAAAATGGAAAAAAAACCAGTAGTTTATACAAGTTTGATAAGTAGACTGGACACAACCCTCCACTTAGTCCCGACATTAGATATATGAAAACGCTTACTTGCAGGTACACATTAATGATATATATTTCACATTTGAATACTACATAATGTATACACTAAATACTGATTTCATTACCACATACAATGTATACACATACAGATCTATAATTATTAAGTGAATATATTGCAAATATACACACATACACGCACCACACCCTCTTACATGTAACTCCACAATCACACACACCGTCACACATACACTGCCATATATAACGTTCATACCAACCATATACACACATACACAAATGTACAAGTGCCAAGAAGTATACATACATGTCTATAACAGGACACACTCATTACGTGTAAACTTGTACATCACCCACATGTACCGTCCCATCATTAAGTTAATTTGATTAATTCACACTAAGCTCTCAGTAACTATATGCTCATCGCATATTGAACCCGCTCGATTTAAAACCCTTAAATTAAAAGAATAAAGACCCTACACTGCATACTCGAGTATGTGGTAAAATTGTATGTCATATGTTGTAATTTTTTTTATTTTTTTATTTTTTTACGGATAACCCGGCAATAAATAGACAGATATACCATAGAAGTTATATCAAAATTCAAATTCACATGCACGTACATGTGTGTATATGTACACACATGCATTGCTCACATACCCGAACCATTATATGTGGAAATGGCCAAAATATCAACCATTATATGATTGAACCTGGCAGGTACATTTCAATCATATACACAAAACTAAGAAGGACCTTACACAGCAAACTCTGGAATAAAGTAAAATTGTACGACAATGTGTTGTAATGGTTTTTGTCTACGAATAACCTACCTTGCAATATATAAACAGATCAACAACGCAGAAGTAACATTTGAATTCAAAGTTATAAGCACGCACGTGTGTGTATATGAACATACAGCACATATATATATACATTGTATGTACATGACTCATGCCTCGACATATTGATACAGAGGTACAGATTATATTATAATTCGAATTCACACGCACGCACAAGTGTACATGTATATGACTCTTGTCTGGAGTGTACAATGGTACAAGGTGTATAGTATGCTATATCCCGTTTACCCATGGCAGCAGACGGTCAGAACAAGATAACTAGATAGATATATACATATTGATACAATATGTCAATGGTTGTTTAGAGCTTGTTTACTAAATTATCGATTGTACTTATAGATACATAGCGAGATACAAATCAAAATACATGTACTATCAAAGGACCATTTCAAGTGCGAACGGGTACTTCATGTTTTAAATCAACTTCAATTTCTCACTTCAAAAGAAAAAGTATAAACAAGTGCTATAGTGTCTCTTTACTCACATATGGACAGTTTCGATTCAACACAGGTAGCAGTACAGGTAAAGGTCACGCACTACATGTGTGTGCTGGCCGGTGCACTCACGGATGGTGGTTTACCGTTACTCGATTGGCTCGAGCCAACACTCTGGAACGATGGTTCAAGGGACTGATCCAGAGCCTGTGATGGCTGGGAAGAGGAAGAACGTTGGGATGCCTGTGCTGAATGTAGTAGGTGATGTTTTAACTGTGAAGATGTGGACGGGTCCAGTGGTTGGGATGCCTAGGAGGACGACTTAGATGAAGGGCAGGACAGATGGGGATGCTGAGTTTGGGCGTTGATGTCAGTAAGTCGATCTACACAGGTGACCAGGTGTTCCGGAAGGGTAAGCGTCTTCTGCTTCATGCACGACACCCGCAGTCAAATCCGAGAAATAACACGTCCTCCAATCGATAACTCGGGTATAGTGACAACAAAACCACAAGGCTCACCAATGAGCATACTTAATAAAATATTGGTCTTCACACAAAGAAATAACAGATTTCCCTATGTGATAACGATGGCTTCCATAAAACGTGTCTATAGTCTGTATCAGCCTGCTTCTTTGGAAACTTTGTGTTGTAAGTTCAACCAATGGAAGTTTTAACAAGGCTTCGGTACCCTGTTAAGACTGTGAAACTGCAGGGAAACCTGTTTCAGTATAGAGCATGAGGCAACCGATGTGTTGTCTCTTGTAGAATCGCAGAATCGTCCTAAAACCTTAGCTGTTGGTTGCCTATCGTCAGTGATTGGTTTAGTTTAGTATTGTTTAACGTCCTTTCAACAGCTATGCATCGTCAGTGAACATTGTTGTCATCTAATCTTAACGGTTGTTTGGCCACATCTGCTATCACAAGGAGACAAACACGAACATATCGCAGCCTCCCAAAATACACACACATACACTACACGCATGCATCTTGCACCCAAGGGGAGGCCGTCCTTAAATGACCTTAGCTGTTAATAGGACGTTAAACAAAATCAAACAAACAAACAAACAAATGGCCACATCTGATAAGTGGACATCGCCGTCACGTAACCTTATACCCTGTTGTGTAGTCTCGCTTTCTGTGGACATCGCTGTTATTATCTTAGCTGCTGTGACGTCCATGTCGTCATGGATCATTGTCGTCATGTGATTCAAGTTGTCGTGTGACCCCATCATTGGTGGACATCGCGTCATATAACCTTAGCATTTTCTGGCCCGATCATTAGTGGACATTTAAAATCACGTGACCTTAACGTCGTCTGGCCAAGTCATTAGTGGATATCCCCGTCATGTATCTTTTCCGCAACGAGAAGTCAAGTCTGAAGACAGTTAGGAATTTTATTAGTAAAAGACTGAAAATAACAGTAAAATAACAATTACAAACTGGCATAATTATATAAAAACACAACTATTCACTTGGCTTGTTAGATAAATGAGATATTCCATATAGGGTTACAACATCCATCTTAAATCATGACTAGAAAGAATAGACAACTATTGCTGAAAAAGTATTTAGACTAGAATGCCTCGTGGCGGGGAACACGTGGTCTGAACGACTTGACAATAAAAATGAAAAAACACTTATTATGACTAGAAATTTCTTAGATAGCAGTATCGACATTAACATCAAGTATCTAGAACACTGTTTGATTATCCAAATACATCTGAATCATTACAAAACTTACATTATGGCGTAACCATAGTTTGTGAGGCGAATACCCGTGTGTTTGCTTTTTCTGCTTGAGTCTAAATCTACCAAAATCACAGGAGAGTTCCAATATTGAAGTCAGATGTCCTACTAAACACATACCTAACACCGACAATCACTATAAAGAACTTGTTGAATGACAGTACACTCCCCGCCTGATATTTGTAAATATCAGTATCCATCATTCCAAAAGTCTGTGTCCAATCAGGACCAATGTTATAAGGTAACCGAGTCTCACTGGATTAACGGAATTGTCTCAATAATGGGACGTATGTAGGTTGCGGTTTTGTCGCCTCGAACGACCTTGACTTCTGCCTTTCTGACAAGACCATCATCACTAGGGAAGACGCGAAGAATGACCCCAAGTGGCCAATCATTCCGTGGTACGTTCCTGTCCTTCAATAGAACGACATAGCCTGTCTTGACGTTGTCACATTCCTGATGCCACTTACGACGCGTCTGAAGGGTAGACAGATAGTCCTTTCTCCAGCGATTCCAGAACCTTTCTGCCATGACTTGTACATGCCTCCATGATGTTCGGTACATATCCTTCACGTCAAGATGATCATAGAACGCCGCAGGACTTCCTGTCGTTTGCGTAAGAAGTATAGCAGGAGTGAGTACGAATGGGTCATCTGCATCAGTGGAAACGGGCACAAGGGGCCGGGCATTGATAATTGCACATACCTCAGCCATGAGGGTCCCGAACACTTCATGAGTCAACTTCCTATTTGCGTTTTCCTGAAACAAGGAGTCGAGAATGCGTCTGGCAATACCGCTCATCCTTTCCCGAAGTGAGATGCATGAGGAGGGTTAAATTTCCATACCGTGCCTGAGTTGTAGAGAAACTGAGTCATCGCATCATCTTCCACGTTGATCGCATCAACTTGAAGGTCCTTGGTTGCACCCACGAAATTACTGCCGCAGTCGGACCGAAACTCCTGTACCTTGCCTCGCATTGCATAGAATCTACGCACAGCATTTATGAAAGACGATGGGCTCATTTCCTCCACTATTTCAATGTGAACTGCCCTGATCGTCAAGCAAGTGAATAGGACTGCCCAGCGCTTCCCCGAGGAAGCTCCTCCTCGAGTACGTCGAACTGTTATTTTCCACGGCCGAAGACGTCGACTCCCACGAAGGTAAATGGGAGACTAGGAGTAAGACGATCCACCGGGAGGTCAGCCATTTTTTGTTGACTCGGTGTCCCGCGTAATCTTCGACACTTCACGCACTTGTGTAGAATAGAGGATATCAAGCATTTGCCACCAGTTATCCAGAATCCAGCGCTCCTGACTGATCCTTCCGCGAGATGTCTACCTTGATGTTGGATGGACTCATGATAGTGTCGGATTAGCAAAGTAGATAGATGGTGACGTCCAGGAATCAAGATGGGGTTCTTCTCCCATTTAGAAAGTTCAGATCTCTTCAATCTTCCCCCAACCCTCAGAATGACTTCATCATCTAAAATGGGTGAAAGGTTCAGTAGGGAGCTACTGCGTGGGAGGGACTTTCCTTCCTTCAAAACTTTCATATCCTCCTCATTAAACTCTAGTTGGACATCCCTGACTATGAAGCGTTCTGCGTTTCTGTAAGACTACTGTCCTGTGTTTAGAACACGTATGCCACCCTTGACAATCCAGCTTTGTAGAACAACTGCGAGCAATGTGTTGTAGTTTGGCGATGGCTTCCACTAGGGTTTTCCATTTCGAATATCGCTCAAATCTTTGGGTACCAAGAAGGCTTGAAGTTGTTACCTTCGCACTGGTTTTCAGACTTGTAGCTTGTAGCCGGACTTCTTTATCATCTTCAGGATATTGTAATGCATATGATTGAGTAGTAATATTGCTTTTGTTCAATAAGAAGTCAGGACCTATGAGCCACTTGCTGTCTGCTAGGTCACCAGCCCGTACTGATCTTGTGGCTAGGTCTGCAGGGTTTTCTCCTGTTGGGACATATGACCACTGCTCTGGTTTCGAAGTATATCGAATCCTAGCCACTCTGTTCGAGACGTAGTTGTAGAACCGGCGCTCATGGTTATGAATGTAGCCGAGCACTACCTTGCTATCGGAGTAGAAGTAGAAAGACTCCACTGGGATGTGTAAATGTTCAGCTACAGAATCTGCCAATTCTATAGCTAGAACTGCCCCGCAAAGTTCCAGCCTAGGTTTTGTGTGTCCGTGGCTGAGGGCCACCTTGGCTTTTCCCAGCACAAATCCAATATTTTCTCGACCATGTAACCTTGACCGGATATAGGCAACGGCACCGATGGCTTTTTCGGAAGCATCTGAGAATATGTGAATTGTCTTGTCGTTGCAGCCAAAAAAAGGATGTAGGAAGGTATGCACGTGGAACACAGACATTCTCCAGTGATATCAGCGAGTTTCGCCACTCGCACCATGAAGTGTAGAGATCAGGGGGTAAAGGGTCATCCCAGTCTCTGGATCCCTTTAGAAGTTCGCGCAAAAGGAGTTTGCCTTCTATGACTACCGGTGAAAGGAAACCAATGGGATCATAGATGCTGTTGATCACAGATAGTACACCACGCCTGGTGTAGGGTTTGTTGTCTTCTGAAGATACTTGAAACAAAAATGCGTCCAAGTTCAGACTCCAGCTAATGCCTAAACTTTGCTGTATTGGAAGCGGATCAACGCCGATTGTCAGGTTTCCTAAACCGTTGGCTAAATCCTCCTGGGGGAAGGCATTCATGACTTCCTCACTGTTTGATGCTACTTTATCTAGGCGCAAGTTTCCTCCCTGTGAGAGTGCTAGTTGTGTACGTTTCATAAGACTGATAGCTTGCGTTTCAGTGGACATCGATGCCAGCCCGTCGTCAACACAAAAGTCTCTATTTACAAACTCGACAATGTCGGAGTCTGTGTCACCTGATACCGTCTTTCTTAAGCCAAAGGTGGCCACCGCAGGAGATGGTCGGTTGCCAAACACGTGTACCCGCATCCGATACTCTACTAGTTCATTGTTCATGTCGTTGTCGCGATACCAGAGAAACCTTAGAAAGTTTCGATGTTCCTTGATGACACGGAAAGCATAAAACATCTTTTCAATGTCTCCTACTAACGCGATAGCTTCACGTCTGAAGCGCATTAGAACACCAAGCAAGCTGTTAGCAAGATCTGGTCCGGGCAACAGAACATCGTTAAGGGAGGTACCGTCATATTTTGCCGAAGAGTCAAAAACAGCCTTGATCTTGTCAGGCATGCGAGGGTGGTATACCCTAAAGATTGGCAGGTACCAACACTCTTCTCCTTCCTGTAGAGTAGGGGCTAGCTCTGCATGCTTATTTACCAGAACATGCTCCATAAAGTCCATGAAATGTTTCTGTTTAACTTGGNCCATTAGTGTTAAAAAATGAGTGTCCTCAATTGACAATCCTAGCTTTTCATCATCTTTGGTTCGCTCGAATACAGTCGAACCAAAAGTGTCGTCAACTTTAGACGGTAGGCCTGTTGTGGGAATGAAGCGTCCTGTAGTATCACGCACTTAGTCGTTATTGCATGGGGGATTCCTTACGTCCGGGACGTGCGCCCTGTGTTTCGATAAGATCAAAGAACTCCGGGCGACCCAAAGACCTGTTGCTTTGATCATCAATCATAGCGTATAGTGTTACAGCACACTCAGGTTTGCCTTGAGGGTATACTTTGACAAGACTTTCCCTCAAAACCATCTCCACATATTTGGGTGCACGCCGAGGTGATGCCTATGGTTTGGGTAGTTTCAGAATACCCATGTTTCTGCTCCCTGCCATTGCTTTTCTGCTCCCCGCCGTGACTTGTCCCATGAAGCGCTGTCGGGTGTGTTTCACTGTTACACTCTGTGCAAGTAACAGGAGTTACACAATCTCGATATCTGTGAGAGGAAGACTCACAACAACGGAAACAAATCTTGTTTTCTCCTACAAAGGTTTTTCTTTCTTCAAAGGGTTTAGCCCTGAAGGTCCTACGCTTATTTAATGAATGTTCTGTTTTGTGTAGGGGGCAGTGCTTTTTCTCAGGATTCTCTTTGTGAGATTTTTGAGGATTGTTCTTCGAAACGCTGACACTGTCTCTAGTTTCAGTTTTTCGAGTTGTAACCATGTTTCTCCCAATATATACGTTTGGGGGCGATCTTTCTTCAGCGGACAGGTGGCGGTGGCGACATCATACATAAATCTGGGGTTGTTTCTTGTTCTGCTTTGTTCTCGTAGGAACTCAGCAAATTGATGGAAGGGTGGGTATGGCACATTATGTGTGTTGTTATACCTCACTGCACGTGTCGTCCAACTTTCTTGTAGACTATGTGGTAGTTTACTGACGATGGAGGAGACTCCGCCTGAAGAATCGTAGTAAGAAAGGAGAGAATTGTACTTCTCATCCTCCTTGATAGCTTCTATCTTGGACACAATGTCTGATAAATCGTAGTTTCTTTGTGTCTTTGGTTCCTAACTTAGGAAAATGTTCCAACCACTGCTTCAGTGAAAACTCTATCATTTCTGGACTGCCATATCTCTCCTCAAGACGTTCCCAGATTCTTTTTAGTCCTCTCTCAGGATAACTGCTGTTTGCAGAAGAAATATTTTGAACTTGTTTCTGCGAATCTGGACCAGACCATTTTATTAGAAGGTCTATTTCCGCGCGCGGAGTCACTCCAAGATCTTGCATGATAGCAGAGAAGCTTGCTTTCCAAGCCCTGTAGGTCTCTGGTTGATCATTGAAACTGGAGAGTCTGTTGAGGAGTAAGTCTTTCTTAAGAAGAAACCTGGTTATCTCGGATGATACTTCGTGGCCTTTTTGAATTTCAGTAGGTTGAATCGGAGATTGATATGCGACATAATTAGGGTTGTCGAAAAATGGTAACGCATTAGGATTCAACGAAGAGTTATCAGGCATCGGGTTATCTGGTGTGTGCGGAGTTGTGCAACACAGCTCTCCATGTTTCGCGTCAATAGACGTATGACGTATAAATGGTATCTCATTTGTGACGTCAACAAAGTCATTGGTTCTTTTCATAGAACATTCCTCTGGCAAAGAACCAAGCTGGCTTTCTAAATCAGCTGCTTTAAGAGCAGACACTTCTGCTTCAGCTACTGCAGCTTCTTTCTTTTCTGTGAGAAGGGAGAGTTCAGCTTTGATTTCAGCTTTATGTCTATCAGCACTGGCCTTATTAAGCTGTTCCTTTTCTTGCAAATATGCTTCATGTTTACGGAGCTCCAGTTCCTGTTCTGCGAAACGTAGGCTTATCCTGGCTCCTTCCGCTTTAGCCTGTTTTCTTGTTATATGCGAACTTAAAGATGACGATGAATGCCTGGACCCTGAATCTGACTTTGATGAGCGAGACCTGGTACTGCGGGACCGATATGTCTGGACTTCCATAGTATGATGGATAAGAATGTTCAGTAAATATAATTTACCTTTAACAATATTGTCCCGAGATCCGATGAGCTCTGAATGCCTGTGATACTCCCTTATGCTGTCCGCAGTACGTGTATCTGTAAGAAAACTTGTGTATTGGGCGGATAGTTCTTTGTATTGTTGAAAATGGAGGCTCAATACCTTTAAAAAACCTCTCAAAATATCAGGGTTCTTCTCAAGGGTTGAAACATTTTCTGTATCACTGATAATATCCTGCCACTTAGCCTCGAGTCGAGTAGTGTGATTGACACATACTTGCTCATACTCCTCTTGTGCATTAGGGGTGAGGTTCCTTATTCTTTTCTCGGTGATATTGAGGCTTTCTTGGTCTGTTTCGATGTTTACCTTACCAAAGTCTGCCATACTGCAGGGTTGTGGTGTTAGGTATGAAGATGGAGGATGTCCTCTGCATACAGACTAGCCAATTTTTTTACTTTTCCACAACGAGAAGTCAGGTCTGATGACAGTTGGGAATTTTATTAGTAAAAGACTGAAAATAACAATAAAATAACAATTAAAAACTGGCATAATTATATAAAAACACAACTATTCACTTGGCTTGTTAGATAAATGAGATATCGCCAGAGAGAGGCTGCCCAGAGTGAGGTTGCTGAGCTGGAGACACAGCTCAAACTGGTGGAAGAGAATCGTGACAACATCCGCAGGGACCTCATTGATGCTAAGATCAGAGAGGGTGAGAAACCATACCAGTTGGTTGTAATTTTGTAAAGGACAATAAAAAGGACACTTTAGATTAAAACTTCAGAATATATAAAATGATAGAATCACAAAAGATAAAAACAAAGTTGTGAAATTCAGTAGAGTGCCTGATCCTCAGATTGCTTTGTTTTTAGTTTTGTTTACAAACTATGACCTTATAATTTGACATTTCAGTATAAATGCTGACCTCATTTGACCTATGTAAACTTTGACCTTGATGTTACGTTTGTTGCGCAACTAGTATGTTGGTTTGACCTCTGTATACATCCTTTGACCTTAATGTATAACCTTTGACCTTGATCCGACCTACCTGTTACAGGTGATGAGATCAGGGAGCTGATGAGGAAGGACATGGTCGAGCTGAAGAGGAACATAAATGATGAAATCCGTGAGAAGGACACGGTTATCAAGACAGCAGAGGAACTCCGCTCCACCGTGAAGAAGAATGAATGTGACAAGATTGATCTGAACAGGTCTCTTTGTGACCACAGACAGAGGGGAGCAGGTATGCATGATCTCTGAACTTATCACTATTTATCATTTTCTGTTTTCTGTTTTTATTATCTGCTAACTTCAACACTTGTTAGAAATTTGTCAATGCTTACAGCAAATAAAATCTGAAAAGGAAGGCTGAATTTAACAAAGTTAAATATAAAGTGGGTATATAGGTTAAAGATGCAATGGGAACAACAAAGTGGGGCAAGAGTGTTGCAAAAATGTTCAAAAAATAAATCAAGTTTAGTCAAAATGCTTTTAAGGAAAACAGCTTTTGGAGGTAATATTGGAAAATTCAGGTATTCAATTTTGTAAAGAAAATTATAATTTTAATTTAAAAATTGAATTCATTACATGAAAGATAATTTGAATAATTGATGAGTAAAATGTTATTTAAGAACAGTGACCTAGCCATTTATGTTATGTTCTAGTGTTGGAGGAACAAAAGGCTGTTGTCCAAAAGGAGGCTGGTGACCTGCGCTGCAGTCTGCGCGAGGTTGAGCGTGCTCGTTTGGAGGCTCGCCGTGAGCTCCAGGATCTTCGTCGCCAGATCAAGCTGTTGGACGGAGAGAGAAACAAACTTGGTAACGAGGTGTCTGACCTCCAAGTCAGAGTTGCCTGTGATGAGGAGAAGGAAGAGGAGGCTCGCAGACACTCGTTTGACCTCAAACAGAAGGTAGGTGTAGCTTACAGAGATGGTAGATCAGTATCCGTTGTGTTAACAGGGAATATAATGAAACAAAATTGACCTGTCTATATTAACAACTCTTGTTGACTCGGGTGGTAGCATCATAGGTTCTTGATGTGGGGGGTATACAAAGTACCAAGAGAAGACCAATAAGTTTGTACTGATGGAAGAACAGTAAGTAGATAAGAAAGATGTGATATTTCTACAAAGGTCCCTTCTTAAAGAAAGTTGCATTTCAGAACATGTCAACCATTAGGGCTTGGAAATATAAAATATCAAATACAAATTTGTTGTTTTTTCATCTATGTTATAAATTAAAGTGTTGTAAAGAGACACTAACTCTGTATGCTCCTCTCTGTATTAAGGTTGTGGAGACAGAGGCCAGCAGGGAAGTTCTGCGTAAAGAATTCGCCAACCTCCAACGCAAGATGGGTGAGCTTGCTGACGAAACACACCTGAAGGAGAAGGACTACCAGATGGCTTTGGAGGACAGTCGCCGTTCTGAAAAGAAACTTGAGGACCGCTCACATAATCTGGAAATCAGCCTGGAGCAAACTGGCGCTGAAGCAGCTGAGCTGAAACTGAGGCTTAGCGGTGCTGAGGGTCGCGTCAACGCCCTTGAGGCAACCCTGGCCAGGCTGGAGGGAGCCAAGCGTGATGTTGAGTTCAAGCTTAGCAGCATTGTGTCCAGTCTGCGCAGGACAATTGGATTCCGTCAAGAGATGCCACGTGCAAGCAGCCCAACCAGGTCACGTACACCTAGCTCCCGCAGGTCCCGACCTAATTCACCAACCAAAGGTAATTTTGTACTACAAGCTTACTTCATAAAAAGTTTGACTTTGATGCATATGAGAGAGACAAAATTGTCATGGTACTGTTAAGTGGTAACCAATATGTGTGGTTAATTCACCTTATTTTTGTTTCATCTATTTTGATTTTATTTTTTAGCCGGTTTTAAAATTGTTAAGGTTTGATAAAGACAAGATGATGAAAAAACTAGAAAATAATTATTTTGATAATATTAACTTGGTAAAAAAAATACAAATAATTGTGAAAAGTTTTTTATTTGTGAAAACAATTTCACACAGCCCTATCGTGGTGTTCCTAATTGTACTTGCCTAGGTCTCTGATAGAATCTGATGTGTTGTCCTCTCTGTTACAGGTTTTGAGAGCACTTACTCCACCACCACAGAAGGACGTGGCAGTCCCATCCCCAGGACTGGATCCCCAGAGCGTATGGGTAGCCCGACCCGCCTTGGCCCCCGCGGAGCCTCACCCAGGAGGCTGGAGTACTCTCGTGAAGTGGCTCCACTTGACGTGGATCCTGAGGCAGTCAGGATGGCCCTTAGGGACTTTGTACAGCAGCTTGCCGGAGCCGAGCGAGAGAGGGTAAATAAATATTTTAGCTCACCTGCAAAGACGCTCGGATTGTTTCCAATATATGTAATTTGATCATATTAACTCCAGAAGATTTATGTACAATGATCTTGTTTTTAAACTGAAGTCTCTTTGATTGTATCAAGTATATGTGAGCTGGGAACCTTCTAAACAGCTCCCTGCATCGGATTATATTCATTGATAACCAGAAAACCTGTGATTATATCTTGTACTGTATACTGGAAATTTTGGCCGAAGTTTAATTTGACGGTAGTATTATGGTATGGCGTTGTCCGTCCGTCCACGCTCCAGACTGATCGACCTGACGACACGTCACCGTGCCGAGACTGAGATGGAAACCGAGAGACTGAGGTCAGCGCAGCAGCAGGCTGAGAGGATGCTGGAGGCCAGATAGCGTGCCCACTGACAGAAAGGGAAGGGACTGGAGGAGACTGTAAGTTCACATGTCAAAATATCAGTCCAGGATAATAAAACAATCTTCACTGATGTCTAAAATTTTATGTTGTCTTATTGTACAACTCCACAACAAACTGAAATAATATATTCATCGACATACACTTGTGGTAATATATACATGTAAATTATTTAATAAAACTTAAGTTAGACTTGACTTCATGAGAAATATTTGTTTTATGGATAAATAAAATTTAGACTTAGTTTGATTATTTAATTTGTTGAATTATTCCTGGGCAAGGTGAGTTTTTGATGAATGATTGATTCTAAACGAGTGGTTATAAAGATAACAAACGACTTTGAAAAATTAGTAACTCAGTTTGAAAAGTAAAGAGAAATTTGTCTGATGAAGGTGACGGAGTATAATAGCGTACTAATCATCAAAACGTCTCACATATTCCTTCTACAATCCATATTTACCAACTTGAAGAAAATGTTTAGAAAAGATAAAAATATTAATTTCAGAGTAGTATTATTCATTTGTTTAATCGTATCTTCTATGAAGGCAAATTTCCAGATGAATATATTTAAGCTAGTTTTATTGCTGATGAATAGTCTCTGTGTTGTTTGGAACACACTTTGCTATTTCCTGTAATTCTGATGCTGATTTTACTTATAGGTGTCTACCCTGAAGGACCAACTTTCTACCGAGATGCGTAAACGCCAGCAGTACATTTCGCGCAGCAGCCGTACCGGTGACGAAATCCGAGACATCAGAAACATTCTTGACGGCTCCCTGTCTGCCGTCACCCGTCACCCAGACCTTGACCCCCTGCTGTTGGAGACTGAGACTCGAAAGCTGGACGACTCCATGGACTTTCGATCTACGTCACCCTATCCCTCACGTCAGACCCTCCAGGCCGCTTTCGCTACGGCAACCAGACATGAAGGTTACTTTTCACAATTTAAGAATGTAAATGCAGGGGTACCTCAAGGATCTGTCCTCGGACCACTATTATTTCCTCTCTATATCAATGCTATCACTACTGTTTCCTCTAATATCAAACTTTTTGCTGATGAAACTTCTCTGTATGTAATTATAGATAATAACCCAGCACAGGCCGCACAATCTCTCAACACTGATCTTACTAACATAGGTGAATGGGCAACAACTTGGGACATTACATTCAATCCAAGTAAAACAAAATCACTCATATTTTCTAGAAAACAAGACACCCATCACATCCCATTATTTTTCCAAAATAGCCAAATCATAGACACATCATCACATCAACACTTAGGACTTACACTTCAAGATGATGCAACATGGAAACAGCACATACAGAATATATACAAAAAAGCTTACAATAGACTTAATATTCTTCGCCATGTCAAAACTAAAGTCAATAGAAAATTATTAATTAAAATATATATATTGGATTTATTAGGCCGATTTTGGAATATGCAGATATTATTTGGGATAATTGTACACAACAGGCAAAAGATGTTCTTGAATCTGTACAATTAGAAGAAGCTAGGATAATAACAGGTCTTCGTTCTGGGGTATCACATGACAAACTATACAATGAACTAGGTTGGGAAACACTATCTGTAAGACGAAATAAACACAAACATGTAATGATGTACAAAATTATGCATTGGCAGACACCTCAATACTTACAAAATGTTTTAAATCCCTTTATTAATAATCAAAATGATAACCCCTACCCTCTCAGACAAACTAGGCTTTTCAACCCACCGTTATGTAGAACTAATAACTATTTCGACAGTTTTTTCCCTCAAATGTGCCGCACAATTAACATTGCAAATTCTGATCTTCTTAATTCTCCCTCTCCTGCAGCATTAAAATTCATCTTTTATACTAATGATAACTCTGTTAGTACCATAGATTTTCCAGACGTTTTGACACTAAAGTTCCTTATTATAGTTGTTCTCAGTCATTTGAATAAATCATTGAAATAACTTGGTCTGCCATTCACATGTGTATGCTGTTTATGTCTTAAACGGTGACATTCATAAGTGTTCCTAAAATTACATATCGAACTGTTGCACTTAATGTACCTAAACATATATGAACACCTCAACCGACAACTTTGGAAAATAGGAGAAAAACAATTTTGTCGGTATTCTGTGATATTCCGGAGAAAATGTATCCACTTTTTTTAATAATACTCAACTTAGTACCACATACCATAGGCAACGAGAGGAACGTTACATTCTTCTCCCTGTTACTACTGCGCTATATGATTGTGATATTACGACCGTATATATTATTTAGTAACTTTGTTCAGTTCAGGATGCAGTCATACAAATGTAATTTCTTTGTTCATTCCTGACAGGAGAAGAATGGTGATTATTGATAGCAGCATAAACAACAGGCCAACCGAATACGTTGTTACATCTGAAGACATTATGGAAACTTTACGAAAAGGATTAAATGGCTACCATCTTCGAACAATATTGCACTTCAGTCCCCTCTATATATTATCAACATAACAAGAGGCAGTTAAACATCACATGCAATTCTAAATAGTACACTATGTAAATATACTATTGGATTCTGTTAAAAACTACGTCAAACTATGGGCAACACTTTAGGTCACGGGGGTTTAATATAACAATTTTATTTAAACATTTGTTAACTATTAACTCACTTTTCCTGGGATTTGTTATAACGTTTTTGCTGTATATATATATATATATTACTTAGATCCTCTGGGATTGGTTATATAGCTATTTATCGGAAGAGAACTTATTATGTATGCAAGTCCCATGGGTATTCATATACCCGAGGATTTTTTACTTTACATGAAACACTTAACGATCAATATTTGACACGTATCGGGTTTCGCATTTTCCTTTATGCGTCGTCTGTGTGTTTGCTAATTTAAGGTTTAAACTTAAAATTCAAAGGACGGAAACAGACAACCAAATAACCTAGAATGTATATGTAGCTGAGTTTGTTTAATGAATACTACGACATTAACACTGAATCGACCGTTAATAATAAGTGATATATGAATTTCCCTTTTACATATTTTTTATACGACCGTCAAATTTGACGGTAGTATTATGGTATGGCGTTGTCCGTCCGTCCGTCCGGCGTAAACTTTGTTTGTCCGGCAATCTCCTCCTACATTTTTCGACTGATCTATTTGAAACTTGGGATAAATTATAATCATGATACGACGTTGTGTCTCCCTTAAAAGAATTTTGATTCGACAATTTTTCCAAAAGTAATTGCCCGTTTTTAATTTCAGTATTTGATTTTTGTCCGGCAATCTCCTCCTACATTTTTTGATTCGACGAATTTTGCAAAATTTATTGCCTTTTGTTTATTTCAGTATTTGATTTTTTGTCTGAAGATTCTCTCCCACATTTTTTATAGCATATCAGCTAACCTCTCTTAGAATGATGCAGATCTTATTTCAATGTGAGAAAGTATATAACACTATCCATATCTATCTTGTATACTGTTCACAATCCTCTGGGAATTATTCCGAACAGGTGCAACTGTACATGCGTGGCAGCAGGTGAAGTGCGTATAGGTGTGTGCACAGTCAGGTTTGTGTGCGGTGTGTGTATTTACAGTGCGATTAAAATTTTGAAGTGTCTTATACATGTACTCGCGATTCATTCAACCGGGCCTTGAACAGGTCCAAGGGGGTCGTCTGAATGATGTGTAATGGCACCATGTTCCACGCTGTGATGGTCCTGGGGAAAAACGAGTACATGTTTGTGTTGGTCCTAGTGTGTGGTCTTTGGAATCCCTGGCTGTTGTGAGTGCTTGTTCTTCCTTGTTGTGGTATTAAGTACAAGTCTGGTGGAATAGCTAATATGTGGTTGACGATTTTGTACATGAAGATGATCCTGGCTGTTTCCCTACGATTTTCTAGTGTTTTCCAGTTAAGATTGTTCAAAAGTTCTGTTACAGTGCCTGGTGTTTTAGTGTAGTTTCCAGTGACATAGCGCGCGCCTTGGCGTTGAACCATCTCCAGCTTATCTTTGTCCTTGGTGGTATACGGATCCCAAACTGTGGAGCAGTACTCGACTTTTGGTCTTACTAGTGTCTTGTACGCTGTTTCCTTGATGTTCTTTGGGGCGCTTCGAAGATTCCTCCTGAGGAAGCCGAGAGTCCTGTTGGCGTTGGATGTTATTGCGCTGATGTGGGGTGACCATGAAAGATTGGATGAGATTTCCACGCCCAGGTATTTGGCTGATGACACTTCCTGTAGTAGTTGACCGTGCAGTAGGTAGGTATGTTCTAATTTCCGTTTGTTCTTGGTGACCTTTAGCACATTACACTTGTCGATGTTAAAAGACATTTTCCAAAGTTCTTCCCATTCCTGTAGACAGTTAATATCGTCCTGCAGGCGAGTGCAGTCTGCATCTGATTTTACAGGTCTATACAGAATGCAGTCGTCGGCAAACAAACGAACCTGGGATATGATGTCGTTCGGCAGGTCGTTGATAATAAGGAGGAACAATAGCGGTCCCAAGCAAGTTCCCTGGGGGACACCCCAGTCAACTGCTGCTGTGTCTGATGTTTCTCCATCCACCACTACCCGTTGTTCTCTGTCCGAAAGAAAAGCACTGATCCATGTTTTAACACATTTCCTCTGATGCCGTAATAGTCCAATTTGTTAGCAAGCCTATGGCATTCGACGGGCGTATTTTGTTCCGCCCCGCGGTACTCTTGTTTTATTTCACTTGAAAAGACTTTGCTGCCCTATAATGTGTTTTAATTGAAATTTTTATACCCTTGGCAGTGTATTGATGAAGAAAATTAGTCATATGACACAGTCAAAATACCCAACAGGTGGTAATGACAGAGAACGACCCCAGAGAAAGTAGAACACAATACAGTGAGTCGATACCTACTTCATCACGATCGCCCTTTTCGGAGAATATCGGGGCTAATGTAGTAATCCCGGTGTCGGCACCCCACTTCACTGAGGTTAACGTTTTTGGGCAGCTTTTTTTCTAGACAGTTTTGGATCATCACACTCAATACACTGTTGTCTATTATAAGGTTTAGACATTTACATGGAGTGTGAGTAAAGTGCTAAACCATATTTTCATGTGTTAGAGGATAAAACTGGTTAATTGGACTTGGTTAAAGGTTTTGGGCAAGTTTGAGGTTAAAGTTTTTGGGCATTTGTTTTTGTGAAGTGTTGGATCACCACCATCAATAGGCTGTTGTCTATTATAAGGTTGAATGTTTTAAAAGGAGTCTAAGCAATGTAGTCCCTGCAGGTAGGGCGTACGAATTGTACCTGCTGCCCCCAATGGATGATCATAAGAGGCGACTACATTTTGGATCTTATCTTTTCTCTTCTTTCTAAACAACTTTCCCTTGACAATGCCTCACCTTTGGCCTTTAGTTGAACGTTCGCCCCTGTGAGGAAGGCTTCGGGATCTGTCCCCTGGCCAAGACATACCAGAGTCTGTACAAATGGTAGTTTCTACTGTTTAGCGCTCAGCAATTTAGGAGTGGGACGACTGGTTCGCCCGTTGTCAGTATAATGTGACCGGGTGGAGCGTCCTGCTGGGTCTCTACGGCAGTATGTTTCAGTGAGGTAGCACTTTAAAGTCGGCATCAGTTCTGCGCTATTACAAGGAGACAAACACGAACATATCGCAGCCTCCCAAAACACACACGCATACACTACACGCATGCATATTGCACACATGGGAAGCAGTCCTTAAATGACCATAGGCGAGCTATGCTGTTCTCCAACAGCTGTTACGTTACTTGGCACATTGTTACTCCCCTATCTTTATGTGATGTTCTCATTTTGAAATTATTTTTCATGACTTAAATGTGAAAATTTGGTGATTTTGTTTAGTAAATATGATTGTATAATATGCGAAAATCATGTAATATTTAGTAAACGTTATATTCCAGTAAGTCACGCTCCTGTCAATCCATGTATATATACATACATTTTAGTACTAACAATATCTATGAACAGTTGAACATAGTTTTATTAAATTTAATACAAAAAAATCAAAATACAACATGTATATACTTCTGTTAATGACTTGTCGGTATCAGTATTTAGAATGATCAGCACAAACTGCATGGGATGTATTTCCTTATATAGGGTTTTTCAAATATAAACCAAAATGGCTGTTTGATGGCTGTTATTGTTTCTATGGTAACGTTATGTGTACATATTCTATCTTTAATGTAGTAAAAGTAAATATTGATAAAGGGAGGACGAAATTTAAATGATGTAAATAAAAAGTAGGAAGAATATTAGCTCAATCGAAGTTGTTTTCAGACTTCGTAGAAACACATTGATGTTTTCGATATGGTCGGAATATTGTCCATAAATATCCGCATTCATGTTATAGAGGCCAGACATATCCCGCTATTTTGATAGGAAAACAAGCAAGAGAATACCAAAATTTAGGTTAATTTCAAGTAATGGCACGTCCTCACATCGAAAAACTTTAGATTTTAGATCCCCGGCCGCGGGTTTGTTATAAACATGTTTTACTGTAGACCACAACTTAAACATGTTTTACTGTAGACCACAACTTAAGGATGTACACCTCTGAGAAGTCAAAAATTTCCTGTATTAAACTTTTTTTCTTATATGGATTTTTGGAAAAAGGAGTAAATGGCATAGTAGAAAATGCAAAAAAAACACACCATATGTCCGTGTGCTCGTTTTTGTGCTATGATCGGTCAAAGATACCTATTTACCACAACATGTGATTTTAGGTGATTTTTTGGGTTTTGACCATTTGCAGAACAAATTCATACAATTTCTTCCAAGTATGTTATCAGATATGTATAAATGTTTGTAGAATTGTTGAAAATATTATTTTCTTTTAAAATATGGAAGTAAAATTTCTTAATTTTATTGTTTTAACTCAAAAAGCCGATTTTAGTTACCCCTACCCCCTATTTTTTAATGAAAAAATACTCATTTTTTATCGTTTTTTTACAGATTAAACGCTTGATATAAAAAAGTTCTGGTATTTAACTTTTTTTAATATTTAATGAATTAAATGAAAACGTGCTTCTCTTTCTAAAACATCTACAAAAATGGGGGGTCAGTGTGCTTCTTTTTTTGTCCCATTATCATTTGTGTTATTTTTTACTTTTTTCGGGGTCAAAAATCAAGAGTGCTTGAGTTACACTAAATACGTAAACAAAATATCAATAATGTATAATTTTCCAGTTTGTTGCATATTATTTTTATCATATTGAACATTATAAAGTTGTACAGCAAAAATGAACCTGCTACAATTAAAAATGGCGACACAGTGACAATTTAAGTGATCAATCTAGTGCCAAAAAAGGTGAAATTTTGGCCCTTTTTGAAGCACAAGAAATACACATTAATACACATTTTCAAAATGGCCGCCAAATTGGTAATTTTTTAAATTCTTGTAAAAAAAGTTCTACAAACAACAGGCATCTAGATTTTTTGACATATTTTTCAGATGCGTGTTTGCTAATAAACTTGATCATAAGTTGTTAAATATTACAAAAACCCATTACACCAGATCAAAACGAGACTTGAACGTGATTGAAACCTCAGAAGAATACATCCTTAAACATGTTTTAGTGTAGAGAACTAGTATCTTAGATCCCATGTGGATTGTTATAAACATCTTTTACTGTGACTAAGGTCCGCCGGGGTGTATTTTAAGATTTTTTATTGTTGAAAACTATACAGGCGTCTTACTACGCACGAAACACTCTACGAGAATTTGACACGCAATGGGTTTCGCATTTTCCTTTATGCACCGTCAATGTGTTTGTCAATTCAAGTTTAAATTACAAATTCCAACAACGAAAATAGACAACCTGATGATCTTAAACGTTTGTGTAGGTATTTGATTTCATTTAAATGAATTCTACGGCATTTACATCGACCGTGGGAATTTAGGTCTAGTCTTAGTAATGTCACGTCCCCACATCGAAAACTCAGGTAGCGACAGCAAAAAACACAAGGCCCACTAAAACGCCTTTACAGGTGTACTGTCGAGTATACCTTGTCTGGGTATATCGACAAGTATAACCAGGTTATTGACATACTAATAAAACCACTCAAGTCAAACATAATACATTTTGTAATGTATAAATTGGAAGATTTATTTAAATATGTTTAAAACGCATTCCATCGTCTGTAAACCTATAACCTTTAACAGACCTCTCCGAAACCACAAAGAACTATATCGCAAAATAAGGGTCTTTGTTTTACCGTTACGGGTATCCGCTAAACCACAATGGCAAGGAGGAATTATTAACAGGCAGACATTCACTATTGCAGCATTTCTTATATTGGACCCCCACTTGATAACAAAACAGGCCAGTGCGCTGTGTACGGTAGTTTTTTGATTGGACACGATTGAAAAATTGTTTAAGCCAAGTAAACAGTCGGGTATTCTCAGTGTGGACGGGGACAGTATACCACGCACTCTCGATTCCCTGTATACATGACAAGGAAGTACTGGAAGGAAGGAGTGGAAACATGCTAACTAAATAACGCGGTGAGTGTGAGGGGTTTATGCTTCTTCCGCATCTGGCACAACGACCCAGCTCTTAAAGTTTGTCAATTGATATTTTTGAAGTTTGTGACCATGTTAATAATGCCGTTAATTACCGTTATAATATTGTTACATGTATAATGAACTTTGCTGTCATCTTCTCCCTGAGAATCAAAATTACCTCCCACCTCCCCTCCCAGTAGATCGTTTTTATTGAGAAGGATATTTTAAGTGAAAGACATGATATATAAATGTATGATGACACTAAAGGAAGAGGTATTACATTTTGAGTGGGGATAAGCTCGAGGGAGACATAGTCAGTGTAAAACGAGGGAGACATAGTCAGTGTAAAACGAGGAAGACAGTCAGTGGGAGGCGAAGGATACATATATATATATCTTGTCAGTGGAAAGATGATGGAGACACGGATATTGAGACAGAGAATGCATTATCAATGGGAAAAGAAGGATATATTGTCGATGAAACACAGGACACAATGTCAGTGGGAATCGAGGGAGACATTGTCATTGGGAGACGAGCGATACATTGTCAGGTGGTGACGAGCGAGATATTGTCAGTTGGAGAAGAGGGAGATATTTTCAGTGGGAGACGAGGGAGACACTGTCATTGGGAGACGATGGAGACATTATCAGTGGAAGACGAGGGAGATATTGTCAGTGGGAGACGAGGGAGATATTGTCATTAGGGAAACGAGGGAGACATTGTCAGTGGGAGACGAGGGATATATTGTCAGTGGGAAACGAGGGAGATATTGTCAGATGGAGATGAGGGAGATATTATCAGTGGGAGTCGAGGGAGATATTATCAGTGGGAGTCGAGGGAGATATTGTCAGTGGGAGACGAGGGAGATATTGTCAGATGGAGATGAGGGAGATATTGTCAGTGGGAGACGAGGGAGATATTGTCATTGGGCGACGAGGGAGACATTGCCATTTGAAAACGAGGGAGACATTGTCATTGGGAGACTAGGGAGACAATGTCATTGGGTGACGAGCGAGATATTGTCAGTGGGAGACGAGGGGACTGGTCGCTAACGTCAATAACAATTTATGTACACTTGTTGAATAATAACGAAGTATATATTTCATTCATTAAAGGGGCATCACGGTGAAGTAACTTTATTTTTTGTCTTTTTTTCAAATACTACATAAACATATCAAGTGAGACTCCTTATGGAAATAACGATCGCATTTGGCTGAAACAGATTCATAAAAATGATTAAATCTAAGAAAATCATCGGTATTTCTACCTGTCTGACCAACGTTTTGTTCAGGGATTTCCCTCTACTAGCGCATACGCATAGCACACCATTTCTTTGTAAACAAAATGACTGGCCGTGTGAAGTAAGCGAAAGAAAAGTGTTGTACCGTGTCAGCTACGAAACGAAAAGTTGCCAAATGGTCAAAAGATAGCGCAAGGAGTACGTTACGGAATCATTATTGCAGGTGGGCAGTATTCAAAGGAGAAAATAACTGCCGTAGCAGTTAGTACGGTGCATGTATTCTTCCGGATAGCCGGTTAAGCTGAAATGGAATCGACAGAAATGCTAGCGCTGTTTATGTTATGAATAAATATCTAAAACTATTAAGCTCGCTAGTATCTTTGTCTGAGTTTGAACACAGATGAACTTAGTTTAATATGTTAATGGGCATGTATTGGAGAGAGTTTACTTTGTGTTTCTATAATTATACAGTGGTTTATGCGAAAGGAAGGGATAAGTGACTGGTTAGTTTGATTTTTCCATGAGGCCCTCCAAGGGATAACTGTTGTGATGGCCCACGGCGTATTTTCTGGGTCACCGAGATACGTGTTATCGAAGTCCGTGGATTTACATAATTTATAATATTACCGGGTTCAATAAAATGGTATGATTTAATTATATTGCTGAATTAAACGATTATTTTTGTTTTTACATGCAAGATTTAAATTAGTACTAATATGAATACCCGGCCTCCTCTGCCCCGGCAACATATAAAAAAAATCAGAAAGGTTTGTCCCTTGGTGTAGGGAAGGTGTTTAGACACGTACCATCTGTACCGGCCACATTCCGGTACTAAATTCAATATATATTTAAATATATCTACTTTATGTTTATGCCTATTATCATTGTTGACATTTAATTGTAAATGTATGACGGGAGAAGGCTGTGATAAATTGTAAAAACTTGTGCCCCATCCCTTGTTTAATTTTATTGGCAACAAATTTATGTTTAAAGCTAAATAAATTTAAATTCTGAATATTGGCAAGTGTGCAATTAACTTCTAATGATGAATAATTACTGTTCAATAAGTTTGAATACGGACTTAGAAATCATATAACTTGGTTTCATAGTGCGGTAAGAAGTTGCAGTTGTCTAACGGCCCCTCTCTGGGGGCCCCTTTGGAAACCGTTTCATCTCGCTCGCACCACTTGTGTTTACTGCCTAGTCAGGTGACGTTATCGGCGCTATTTTTAGCAGGGTTTCCCGAACAATTTAAGTGGACATTTGGAACGGACATGAATATGGGGATAGTGAGGTAACATAAGTGGAAGTGCATACAATACATACATTCATTAAAAAAAACGCCTTTTCACGTGATGTGCCTTTAAAGACATATCATATTATCTATTGACGCGTGTTATAAATTGACGGCTTGGCTTGTACACGACAAATATATGACAAAACACCATATCTGAAAGGATTTTAATTTCAAATCATTAACTGTCCAATTATGACAGGCCTTGGAATTTGGAACAATTAAACTAAAACATGTCGATAAGAGGTTTGTAATTTAACTGTAGTAACCAAGTGATAAGGACAAAACAAGACATGCACAATCAAAACTATTGATAATAAAACATAAAAATCCACCTAATAAGTTTGACCTATAGATGTTAGGTACCGAGTACGGTTTACACTCTGTCACAGAAACCAACCCTGAAGGTTTTATTTTTAAATTATGGTATAGCATTTGTTATCTTTCTCACTACTACAATACTGAAAAAAGTGATAAGACACTTGGGCAAAGTTAGAGTATAAAGAGTATACTATTACATTTGTGACTCCGGTGAAATATGTGTCCTTGTCCTTTTCGAAAGAGGTGTTCCGAAAATATCACATGTTGCCACCCTTTTTACAGAATTCAACTGTTAAAAGATTTGAATGTGTAAAATCTTTCCTTTTTTTAAAGATCAAACAAACAAAAGGATATGATTAGACTACTGAAAAGGCACAGAACATGTAAGTACTAAAATGTTTATTCAATAAAAAATATGGCCTTCGACCTGGTTCCTCTTATTGACAAAACTCCTCATGAACAAGCACTTCTAAAGATTTGTAAATCAATACTTGGAGTCAGCGGATCAGCTTTTAATATATCATCACCATCTGAACTTGTTTTTTACCCAATACACTGCTTTGTTAATACACAAGCCCTAGTAAACTTACCAAGGATCACGCATACCATTATAAATCCGTATGAAAAATATGACTAAATTGATAAAAAAAATGAAGATAACTGTTACACCTTGTTTACATAGATTTAAAGTTGAATAGAAAGACCATAATATAAACCACAGTATCTCCAACAGTAAGGGATAAACATTGAAACAAGTAAAACCTAAAATTAATTCTATGGTTCATCACAATTAAATAAACCCACTATTTAAAATGAAAGCATTCAATTAGTAGACCAACAATTATTTTATGTACATTTATTTGATGTGATACTACTTTGTCTTTTAACTAACCAATTTTACTAACAGAGGACCCTGTGGAAGATTAGCTTTGCTAAACAGGTTTTGTATCCTCAATAAATAAAGTTTATTATTATTATTATTATTATTATTATGATTAAAACAAGATGTGAATGGTAAAATTAATCTGTACTGCAATATGGAAAATAATTATATAGAAGAAACTTATTAATTGACATTATGTTAAACTCTGACGATCTCGGTCTTATGGGGGATACTTTATCATACAGTCATATGAACTGAGGGAGGTAGGCTTGCTTCATATTTATACACCAGATATTAGATAGCTAGGATAGTACATCTGGTACATAATGAGACAGTACTGTCTTCAACTTACCTTATTAGCACAAAGGTGCAAATAATGTATGATTATATTATATTGTAGCTTAATAATGTCAATTTACATAACGGATTTTAGTAAAATAGAAAACCCAATTATCAGTATTCATGTGATGCGATACAATAATTTTGTTTTTATATCAGTTAGTTTTGAATCGCCTGCAATTACTGTACTGTACCACAACATATATTTTTGATTTTTTGTTTGTTTGTTTTATCAATGCTATTCTAAGAATTTGTGTGATGTAATGTACAAAAAGTATACTGTATTTCTTTTTAGGTGTCATTTGTTGTTTCATCATCGTCAGCACTGTGTTGTGTTTTGGAGGTTGGAGCTTCATTCCCTCAACACTAAGGGGCACCATTACTAGAAATATTAGTTGGAATGTGAGAATTTTCTCATTTAGAAATTGGAAACGTCGTGTGCACCTAACACCAAAGTACGACGGCGCCGTTATGCCAGCTCAGAAGCCTCCTTTGAATATTGTTCTACCAACGGCGAGCACGTATAACTTATGTGTGATTTTACACGGAGGTCTAGGGAACCAAATGTTTCAGTTTGCTAGTTTGTATGGATTAGCTGCTAAAAAAGGTATGTCTGTCACGATTGACAGAAAGAATGATTTGACAAAAGTATTCAAACTTAGTGTTGACATGAAGGATCAGTATAAAACAATTTGTGAAAAATTACCTGCTAGAGATGAAAAATTGGATTGTGGTTATGACGAGGGTTTGGATGCTTTTCAACCAAATATCAGTTACAGGGTTAAAGATTATTTGCAATCATGGACATATTTTTACAATTCTTCGAAGGCAATCCGGAAACAGTTCGTGTTTCACGACACCATTATTGAAAAAAGAAACAATATAATTAATTCAATTTTGAAAAAACATAACTTTAAGTCCCGCTCAGACGTAACATTAATAGGTGTTCACGCGAGGAGGGGCGACTTTATAAATAACACTTTCGGCTATTTGGTTGCTAGTGAAAGTTACTTTAGAAAAACTATGAATTACTTTAGATTAAGACGATTTAAAAACACAATATTTATCATTTGTTCAAATGACATGAACTGGACCAAGAAACACGTGATTAATGAAGTCCGTTCGGAGTTCATTGTTGGCCATTCGGAAGGTGTAGATATGGCGCTTCTTGGCTCATGTAATCACATGATCACATCAGTGGGTACATTTAGCTGGTGGTCGGCGTGGCTTACCGGTGGTGAGGTCACATTCTACCAATGGCCAGCCAGGGACGGCTCTGCACTTCGGGAACAATTCAGTGAAGATTATACAGACTTCTTTTATCCCGGATGGGTTGGGTTCTCTTAGTCACCTATTGTTATTATTTGCACACTGACAGGGACCTGAGAGTTCATTCGTATTAGTTACAACCATATTTGGACCCACGCTAATGTGTTTAGAGTCATTTTACACAACTTCAGGGTTTAGATCAATTTTATGTAAACAAAATGCCACCCCAAATATGAATAATATCATTGGGTCGGATTCCTATTTTTACCGAAAATTGATATAAACACATAAAATGTGTACATGTAAACACCTTAGCTTCAGTTAAACAATATACACAATCTCAGGTCCCTGTGATCATTTACATCATCGAGATCATGTAAAGATTTCTTAGAAAATTGAATTGATGGTGCCCGAGTTCACCGTAATATAAAGAAAATAATTTGCAATATTTTGTGTGGTTATGATGTTAAGAATATTAATACTTTCACTGCAATTTATGATACCAGTCTTAATATGTTCAGGTCATTAAGTCTTCTGGAGAAGGATTAAATGCTTTATTCACTTTGGTCAGAAGCGTTCTTACAATAAAGGGGAATTTATTACGTAAAAGAGAAGCTGGTGATCTCCACAAAGCAGAGAGGCTGAGCTCACAATGGTTAGTTGTAATTCTTTTTTTTCTACATAAAAAGAGGCAACCTTTGACCAAAGTTTCCCCTGAAGGACGTTTGGTGAACTGACATCATGTCAAGATATGACATTTTAGTTTTGTGACTTTTTTTAAGTTGCCGTTTAGTAATGTTGTGTATATTGTTTTAAATTTACTTACTGACTATGCTTTTTAATTTCAAGCTGTCCAAATAAAGTTAAAATAAAGTTGAAGAAGTGTAGGGAACGTTTGCTATTCCGGATCACTAGTTTCACTTCATGTGAGTAAATTTAAAATAAAATTGTGTTTTCATTTATCTACACTGCATTTGTGGAAATACTAAAATTTAGTTTCTTCCATGAAGTTTGAATTGACACTGCTGATACTAGGGTTTTATTCCGGGGATCTTTCGTTTTGATCTAGTTTTTGTCGTCTATTATTTACCTAACGTAATATCAGAAGAACAGCAAAGGGGCAAGTAGAGGGAGGCTTCGTAAACCAGGGGATTGATAAACCTTTGCTATGGTATTGTATGAGCACCAAGGCCAAATGGATATTGACAAGTTCAAAACCTGCAATTTAATTCTGGTATATTTATTCGACATTACTGATATCTGCTTATACTTTGTACCATTGGTAATTTAATTTTGAATAGAGCTTAATTGAATTTGATTAAGATTAATAAATATATAGCTCCTACATATTACGAATGTGTTAAATAATTTTCTCTCTGCATGTGATATTCTAAATCATTGAACCTGTCTAGCGACATTTTGTATAGAGGAGCACATTGAGTTGTGCAACCAGTGTTTAAATATATTTATTCAAGATTGAATAGGGTGGGCAGGCTATGTTTAATTTGATAATGTACACATGACATAATGAACTTGTATGTATTAAACATGTATGTATTGATCGCTTTAAGAGAGGAATACCTGACATCAAAACCAATTATGACAACCCTGTAGGTAAAGTTATAATATCTTATGGCAGAAGTGGTGTTTAGCTAACCACTCACGGAAACATTCGTGGACTTCATTACATCTCAAAGGATGGTTAATGTTTGAGTTCCTTAATTTTTTAGATGTGTAATTTGGAAACTAAAAAAGTAAATGATATTATTTTCGATAGTGATTGGTTTCGATGATAATTTAAATGATAAAATGTAAACAAATACGAAAATAGAAAAATAACTCTTCATGAACAGTATTCGAAGCCCAAGATTCTCGTTTATTTCCAATGATTTTTTTTCATATTTCAAAGTAAACCTGCAAACACAACGTGCAAGCCTTATTCAATATGCAAATACCCTTACTGAATATGGATAATTTGTGATGATGGTATTGTCCAAATGCGTCTCCTTGACATTTTTGTCGACTAAACAGGGTTTTAGCTGCTTTCAATTTCCTCCTTCTCGTGTTCTTTTTGATAACATTTTATCAACTGAATCGTAGAATTGGTTATAAAAGGATTACAGAAAATAGCCAGAAGTGCGTGGAATGTAACAGTGATCTCCCCTTATTCATTTTAAAATGTTATATTACAACATTCAGCCGTAGCACAATAGTTTAGTATACAGACTGTAAACCTTTTGATCTCTTAATATCTTTATTCAACGCTTTAAAACATCTTTGAAATTAGTGTTACATGTTGTTTCCACATATATATATATATATATATATATATATATCTAAATATACATGGAACAAAACTATTTTTTTCTTCCTCGCTGAATATTCCATATTTGTTTCTCTTGATTGGATATCATTGGATTATACATACATTTAAACTTAAAACTTTGTTAAAATATATTAGATATTGTTATATACTATATTATCTGGAAGCCTATTATGCTTTTATAATAAAATATTAACAACAGTCTTTGGTCTATTGCTGTTATCATTTACCTGCATGTACATAACACATCCTCACACAGTATCGTACATACATTCATTAACATATAGTTATATCTACATTTTGTTAGAAATTCTCACTTGCTTTAAAGTGAACACATTATCATGAATAATATTATATAATGCACTGAAAATGTCTCATAATAAAAGATATGAAACTTTAATAATGATTCCTGTAGATGTTATCTATTCAAAAATTCAAAAAGATTACAAGGTGCTATCAGATTAAAGATCCCCGTACCAGTGCCCAAAATTGTAACTACGTTATGGAAACTTTATTTTTTCCAACGCGACGCTACCATTGATAAAAGATTTTTGAAAAGAAACAATACCTTGTGAGATTTGTATTGTAATTCAGCAAAGGTGAAATACATTAATTTAACTACAATGCCAAGGGGCAAGACCAGAGTATTTGAACTTTTACACTACCTACATAATTGGAATTCATATGAATATCATTGATATTAATTTATTGGTATTTACAGTTTACATGTAAAAATGAATCTACATCTGAACTATCAAAAACAAAGAGGGAAAAGAAACAGATTTGGAGTACCTTTATCTGTATTCCTGAACTAAAGTGTTCTTCGAGAAATCGGCGTCAAACTATGTTTACTCGTTATGTATATCTGCGTATATTTGAAGGTAAACTACATCAATTATGTATAACAAATAAACTATTTGTATTAATAACTTCGTTGGATTGTTAAAATATGACGATAACTCCGGTGATTTTTCTGTTCTGTGTTCACAGTTTTGCATGTGTCTGCCTGTCGAGTGCGATTCCCTCCTTCAGTGCTCGGAGCACCAGTTTAACGTTGTCCGGGGTTGCATTATATCCCATAATACCTACACGCCAAACCTTTCCCGCCAAATCCCCGAGTCCACCTGATATCTCAACTCTGTACCTGCAAGTTAATACAGAACAAATAATTTCAATTAAGACCTGAACGCTTCAGATATTGCTTTGTAATTATTTTTTTAAATTCAAATCAAAGAGTTTAATCAATATGATTGTATATAACTGTAGGCAGTCATGTCTTAATGTATTGTAAAATGTCGCTGATTTGACATAACAAATGTACAGGAAATCTGTCTGTTATATTTGGTAATCTCACGTGTTCATAGCGTAGTCTGTCACGTGCTTCCAGTTGACGTCAGACGGAACCCGGATTGCTGTTACACAAGGAAGACGAGCTGACTGTGAAGGTGGAAGATAAAAGCTGTTTGAATAATGCAATGCAGGGGATGGGGTCGGGTTGGATAATTTTAACAGAAATGAATTATTTGTTGCTAAAAATGTAGCAGTTGACTGTTAACAATGAGAATTAAATTTATGAAATGATAACAGCAAGCCACGAAGAAAACATTATAAATGGAAAAGTAGTTCCTTAGTTCAGGATGCTATTATTTAACCAACACCTCTGCTGTTTAAGGAATGGCCTGGGATAATAAGCGGGGACAATTGTGGTTGAAACAAATTTAATAGCATTAATGTTTTTACACATTGCATACGTAAAAACGTGCAACACGACAGAAAACTAGTGCTGCCCGGAAGATATTAGACGTCTTACTTTGTCCTTTACAAGCAGCTCTAGACCGAGGCTTGCCACACCCTCGTGCAACATCTCCGCACATCGCTTGTGGTTGCTCCAGCTGGCCTCTAGACCCTATCACAAATCAAACATATCAAAAACACGTGACATTTAACTTTATGACGAAAAACGGGACACTTCAATTGTAAATATGAGAAATAGAAAAGCCGACATCAAAACGCTAATCAATGGCAATATAGGCGCAATGCATCGTCATCACTGATCTATTTCAATACATTCGTCAACCTTTGTTGGAGGAATAGGATTCCACAATCTCTATTTGGTGTGAATGCTGTTGGGTCGTTTAATGAGGTCAGACTTATCTTCTTCATTCTGTTGGTTTCAAAACAATATTAAACTATATACTATAACATCAAAACAGTTGCACCATCGGATCACAATTTCAACAAAACGAAACAGAAACCGAGGGTATGTTAAACCTTAATAAAAGAGTCCCAGATAAATCCTGAAATGAGACCAGGGATTCCTTAACTAAGACAGTTCTTGACTGTTGTTACATCATTTGACATGTGTTAAAAAGATTACAGATATGAATTGATTTATTCAGTCACACAATCTTGAGGTTTTTGAAGTAAAACCAATCTTCATGATGTAATACTTACCATAACTTTAGTATGCATATACAATACCTACACCTATCTTTGTAGCCCAAAAACAAAAGATTCAAATATCCCTACCTCCCTACTCTATCTCGATGACAGAGTCACGGAGTGATCTCTCTTCCTCAAACCCCCTTTTATGGAGCCTAAAGGCAGCCAGGATGAGGAGGCAAGGGGAGGAATACAGGGTGGGACTCCATAAAGTTATGGTAAGTATTACATCATGAAGATTGGTTTTACTTCAAAAACCTCAATTTCATTTCAGTAATAATTGCCATAACTTTAGTATGCGAATTCGTCTTACCGTAGTGGAGGCTTCGAATCCAGGCAGACCAGGCTGACGGAACAAACTCGAGACATGCTCAAGGTAGGAAAAAGGTTCAAGGAACCCCCCTAATAAAGCCCCGAAAGTAATTAAAAAATGGAAAACCTCCCCGTGAAACGAGCAGGTGTACCACCGTGGTGCCTGATAGCATACTATTTAAAATCACTGAATTACTGTGGAGGAACAGCCACAGACGGTGCAACCACCACCGGTCCAAGGGAATACAATCCATCAGAATGAGAAGCCAAGGACCGGAGATAAAAATCCGTGAAGGTAGTCTGTCCGCGCCAGAAAGCCGCGGACATGACCTTCTGAAAGGGGGACCCATTGAGGAGGGCCCATGACGCAGCAAGGACCCTGATCTCATGAGCTCTCACCTTATACACCGCCCGAACCGGATCATCCGAGTGGTCGTAACCGGACTTGATGACCTGACAGATCCATCTAGACACTGACTGAGAGGAGATATCCTGTTGACCCTGCTTAATGGGCAAAAACAGACGAGATCGAGGACCTCGCACCCCCCCCCCTGGTTTTATCGAGGTAAAACCTAAGCGCCCGACAGGGACAGAGCAGCCTTTCCCGTTCCTCAGACCCAACGAAGGCAGTCAAAGACGGGATCTTAATCGGATCGGGCGAGAAGCAAGGAACCTGATTCTTAGCCATAAAGGCAGGATCAGTGAGAAGGGTAACGGCAGAGTAATTCCTGGACCATCGGAGGCAAGAGGGGTGAGAAGACAAGGCATGAATCTCACTCCTCCTTCGACCTGAGGCCAGGGCAATAAGGAATACCACCTTGCAGGTAACAAACTTCAAGGAGGCAGACGCCAAAGTCTCATAAGGTGCCCGCATCAGCGATTCGAGCACCAGTGGCAAATTCCACTGCGGAGCCAACTGCCGGACCCTAGGCCTGTCCAACCCAAACCCCCTAATCAAGGCAGAAAGAGAGGAGCACGAGCCTACCTCCGATCTACCATGAACAGAGAGAATACTAGCAATGGCCGTGCGATAACCAGCGATAGTGCCAGGGGCAAGATTGCGGTCCTTAAACAGCCAAAGAAGGAAGTCCGCAATCACCTGGACAGTAGCCTTGGCCGGATCAACCTTCCTGCCGACACACCTATCACAGTAAATTTTCCATCGTGACTGGTAGACGGCAGATGAGGAAGCCTTAATTGATCGAGCGATGCGATCTGACACGTCCCTAGAAAAGCCTGCCTGAGCGAGGCCTCCTGAAATACCTTCCACGCGTGAAGGTGGAGGATCTCCGGACGAGAGTGCATCGTCCTGGACCGAGGCTGGCGAAGGAGGTTCGCTCTGAGAGGAAGAGCCAGGGGCTCTTGCACCAGAAGCGACAAAAGATCCGGAAACCAAGGCTGCCTCGGCCACAGGGGCGCTATCAAATGCATTCCCTCCCAATCCAGAGACAGAGTGTCCACGGCCCAAGCCCTTTGATCTGGAACCGGAGAGACAAACGTTGGCAACTGATTTTTCAGTGAAGTGGCGAACAGGTCTATGTGAGGCCTGTCCCACACCTGACAAATTCCCTCGAAAATCGAGGGATTCAGTTGCTACTCTGTCAAAACCGGCTGGCGGCGCCTGGAAAGAGTATCCGCCAGAACAATAAACCTGCCTGGTAGATGCTTGACACAAATTGTCAACTGCATTTCCTGACAAAGAAGAAGAATGTGGATAGCGAGGGCACACAGGGTGTGAGACCTGGTTCCCCCCTGTCTCTCCAGATGCGCGACAACCGTAGTGTTGTCCGTAGCCACACAAACCACCTTGGAATGCAGGATCTCCCGAAAAGACTGCAGAGCCAACAGAACAGCTCTCATCTCGAGCACATAGCTGTGCTCCGAGAGCTGTTCCCCAGACCACTCCCCCGACTGGCAACGGTCGTCTTGATAAGCTCCCCACCCTGTCATGGATGCATCCGTGTACAGGGTTATAGTGGGAATCGGCTTGGACAAAGGAACCCCTCGGAGAACATTGTCCTGATGAGTCCACCAGCGTGCGTAGTCCTTGACCGACTGGTTCAGAGGAAGCAAGGCTTCCCAATCCCTTGAAGAAGGGACCCAGTTGGCAAGGAGAAACATCTGGAGAAGCCTGATGTGAAGTCTCCCTTAGGGGACCACATCGGCCAGGGCGTTGCGATATCCCATAAAACTGAGAAACCAACGTACCTGGACTTGAGACCGGCCGATGAAGGTCAGAGCAAAAGCCCTGGCCTTCTCGAACTTCTCCATCGGTGGAAGGGCGATGCCCTGAACCGTATTGAAACGGTTCCCCAGGAAAACGAAATCTTGAGATGGGGAAACCTCCGATTTTTCTCTGGAAGGAATGAAGCCGACCTTGAGTAAGAGTTTCAGAACCAGCCGGGTGACCTGCACCAGTCTCTCTCACTAGGTGGAGCATGAGGGAGTCGTCGAAATAGATGTGAAAATCTATTCCTCGAGAGTGCAGGAATCCCACAACCACCTGCAGCAGCTTGGTGAAAACCAAAGGTGCAGTCGTGAGCCCGAACGGCATGGCCCGGAACTGGAAGACCTTTCCGTTGCAAGTAAAACGGAGGTACTTCCGTGCCGACTTCTTGATGGGAATGTGGAAGTAGGCGTCCTTCAGATCTACTGAAGTCGCCCACATTCCCTCTCTCACGGAGGCGATAATACCCCGAGGAGTCTCCATCTTGAAGTGAGGAGAATCTATGTGCTTGTTGAAGGCACTTAGATCTATGATGGGACGCCACGCCCCGGACTTCTTCCGAACCAGAAACATTCTGGAGTAGAACCCGGGAGTGCATCCCGACATAGGAACCTCCTCGACCGCGCCCTTGGGAAGCATGGTCCTTACTTCCTCCTGGAGCGCCAGAGCCTTTTCCGGATCCCCCGGTGGAGGAAAAAAGATTAGCTCCGACACTAAGGGCGGATCCCGCACTAGCGGAATGCCTAACCCCTCATTGATCACAGACAAGGCCCATGCGTCGTCCGTGATTTCCTTCCTCTCTGGAAGGAAAGCAGAAAGACGACCCCCACAGGAAGATCTGGTCGAGGCAGATCGAGACCTTGCCTCGTCTGACACGACCAAGGAGGGAAGAAGACAGTCAGGAACCTTTCTTCTTACCCCCAGGAGGGTTCTTACCCTTCTTACCCTTCCATTTGTTGCCCTTGAAGGGAGGCTTATACTTGGGCTGCGCAGAGGACTGCGAAGCCGAAGGTTTAGCCTTCTTCTTAGGAGGCGCTGACCCCTGCGAGGTACTGGCCTTCTCAGCCTGAATCCTCTTCACCAGAAGTGCAGAGGCGACCGAGTCCTCCTTCAAATCCTTCTGAACAGAAGGAAGGGTCCCTCCAAAAAGAGTGGACCCTGAGAAGGGGGCAGTCAACAATCTGGAGCGGTAAGGCTCATCGACCGGGCGGATTTTCAAAACTGAAAACCGCCTAGCCAACAGGACATTGACGAGCGATGACACCTGTAAAGCTGCCAGCGCTCTCAATGCCCCGTTCAGGGCAGAGATCACTCTGTCCTGGATGTCGGCCTGCTCTGTCTCGATAGTCCGACCCTCAGGCAAGTCGGATACCCTATATAGACAAACCGTCAGGTAGTCTATATAAGACAGAATCTGGATGGAGAGACGCAGCAATCTCTCCATCTTGTGGTGTTCTTTGGGACCGAACACCACCTGGTCCACCGATTTACCGGGCCAGGCTGCAAGTTCCCTCGATTGAGGGGCAAGCAGGCCATCATGTGTGGCATAGTCAGTGGCGTGCACTTCTGACAAATCGCCAACACTGAGCTACAACCCAGCATACCCAGGACTACGGGTTGAAGAAGAATTCTTCTCTTAAACCCAAAACTGGACGGTGGCCAGAGCTGAAGACACAATGGTACCTTCTGGCAGAGAGCGGTCCGACCGAGCGGACACCCGAGGAGCCACCAAAGAACCCAAAAGGGTGGTGGACTCGAGGACAGATGACGCCGAAGGTGGTGGGCAAACATCCTCCCCAAGAATCCGGAAACGTCGGCCCTAAGGCCCCGCATACCGGACAACACATACTGGGCCTCAACCTCAGCAGCCTCATGGTTACCCTCATCCTGGAAATCCTCCTCTGAGGGCAAGCCCTCCTGAGGACCGTCATCAGACGACTCGGAGAGACCAGCGTCTATATCCGAGCAACCAGGTGAAAGATGAACAACATCATCGTCCTCTCTCTGCCATACCCGCGCCCTCAACGTCCATAGCCTCCACACCATCCAGACCAAAAGCCTCGGGCGGAGGAAATGGGCCAGCCAGAGGGGCCAACCCGAGAGAAGGCTCCCCGTACCGGCGTTTAGGTGCAGTGCGCCTAACGGCCGTGGCTGTAGGTTTAGGCTAAGAAGTCCTAAAGGTCCGACACACCTTCTTAGGACCGGCCGATAAGGCCCCCGAAGTAGCAGAAAGTTGGGGGGGGTCAACAGAACTGCTAACACGTCTCCGCGAGGGAGAGACCAAACCCCAAGGATTCCATGACGGAAATGCCATGGGGTTAAACCCATATCCCGGAGGATAGGGGAAAGGTCCCGCGGGCTGGGAGTGACCCCAGAACTGGCCAAACTGGCCTGCCTGAGACTGGGGCTGGCCAACTTGCCCAAAGGGCGAAGGTGGACCGCCACTCCCTCCAGGTGGAAACCCGGACATGTACGGGCTAAGCCCGTAACTGCCGGGATGCTGTCGCAACCCAAAACCATCCGCAGGCTGGTAAGGGCGGCCCAAGGATGGTTGCCCGCAGGCACCCGTATACCCTAAGCCAGGGGAAAACGGAGGCCGGAAACCGGCCCCCTGTCCAGCAAACCCAACCCCTGGGGGGAAACCCCCCAGGTTCCCAGAAGAATGAAACTCGGGACCGGACCTAATAGGACCGGGTCCGGGTAACTGACCGGGAGGGTATGCCTGACCAGCATTGATGCCGGGATTAGTGAGCTGCGCGTCACTAATCCCGGTAGACACAGACAATCCCGAAAGAAAGTCTGTTGTCACACCAGGACCTGAACCCGAAAGAACAGGCCCGGCACCAAGACTGTCCCCAACGACAGCACCACCTGGAATGCCGGGATCACTGACAGAGTCAGTGACCGGCGGCCGGTAGTCCCTACCCGAAGGCAAGCGCAAAAGCTTACGGGCGTTCCCGGCCAATTCGACCCTTGGCTGTGCCAAGCCAGGGTCGGGCTGCCCCTTCCCTACTCCAGGGAGTTCCTGGACAGGAAGGGCCACCCCCTGCTCACGAGAGGGACTCGCCGAAGCAAGACCCCCCGAGACAGGAACAGAGACAGTACCACCAGACCCCAGAGAGCTGGTGGCACGACCTCTATCTCTCTGCTTCCCTCACTTACCGGAAGAAACAGACGAATCTCTCTTACGGTAAGTTGAGGGTAGCTTTGGAACAATGAAGGCCTTGTCCTGAGGTTTAGTTTGTGAACAAAGTTCACAAGGCGAAACCTCACTGCAAGGACGACACCTGGGACAAGCATCATGAGGGTCCCGTTCCACAAAGAAATGGGAACACCCATGAGCTCTACCTCGTCGCTGTCCCGACCGAGACATACCCTCCAAAGCGAACGTAAACAAAAATTTACAAGCAGATAACACGGGAAAAAATGATAAAATACGATAGTACAAAGAACGCAACGTAGAAAGAATTTCACCCGTAATATAAATCAGAAAACGGTTAAAATAAATAACGTTTGCCGAAACAAACAACCGTCACCGAAATAAACAGAGGTAGGAAATTAACCCACGATAATGGCGGACCGTGGCACACCACCGGCACACGTGGAGTAAAAATTGAGTTGACACTCAAACCAAACCGACAAAACAATGTTTTGAATTGGAGCAAGCTCCGGGCGTCAGCAGGCAGCAGGCGCCATAAAAGGAAGAGGAAGGGAGATCACTCCGTGGCTCTGTCATCGAGATAGAGGTTACGTCACAGTAGGGAGGTAGGGATATTTGAATCTTTTGTTTTTGGGCTACAAAGATGGATGTAGGTATTGTATATGCATACTAAAGTTATGGTAATTATTACTGAAATGAAAGTCATTCTTGGTGTGCCTGGGGAAGAGAGACTGCCAATCTCTAACCATAACATTAACTGTTTCTTATTGTTCCTCTTTCTTTTCATAACTACTAGTTTACCATACTCTTGCACTTTTTCACACTCTCTGGTCATTCCACAAATACAAACATCATCATTTGATGATATGAAGTATTATCATTAAATGGTGTTATTTATTATAAATGTTATTGATCTTTTCACATAGAAAGCTTAGACTCTATGTACTGTTACATCAGCTTGCATCTGCATTTGCTGTCACGTCCTTGTGACGTCACTTACGTTTACTGATTAAACGTCAACACCATGGGAAATTATGTACGTGTCTGCATGTAATGGTACGACTGTATTACACGATGCACGTAACTCACCCACAGGTGATTGCACCCTTCAACTTCACTAATAGATACAGTGTGCCAAATAATGAATCATGCTGCTTCATACAGCTGTTTCATTCTTCTATATTTGGTTTGGTTTGGTTTAGTTAAGTATTGTTTAATGTCCTAGAAACAGCTATGGTCATTTAAGGACGGCCTCTCCTATGTGCAAAATACAGGCGTTGAGTGAATGTGTGTGTGTTTTGGGAGGCTGCGATATATTCGCGTTTGTCTACCTTGTGATAGCGCGGAACCGATGTCGACTTTATAGTGCTACCTTACTGAAACATACTGCCGAAGACACCCAGCAGGACACCCCACCGATCACATTAAACTGACAACGGGCGAACCAGTCGTCTCACTCCTAAATTGCTGAGCGTTAAGCAGGAGTATAAACTACAGAACTCATCGGCCAACATATCCACATTGGTATAAACTATTGAAGGGGAAGGTGCGTTAGAACCCTGAACTAATTAATTTGAAATATCCAGGAGTATTGGCTAATTTCAAGTTATACGATATATAAAGTGTGTATACTTTGAACCATGCAACTACTCAAAATAGATATCTGGTTACGTCAAACCTCGGTACTAAATAGTCCTCCAATAAAGTCTTCCACAATGCGAGAAGAACGTTACACACACAGGTGTGTTATCAACTTATATACTAATTGTGTTAATTGTATATCTATGTACTGTAAAGCGCTTTAGAGTTGGTTATGTTAGCTAGATAGGCGCTGTATCAAATGTTGTATATTATTACACGTGTGAAATAAATATTCATATAAGGACAATAAAATACCTGTTTTATTGCCCAGCATGATGCGTTTTATGACAGATTCCTCTTCATATTAGTAACAATAATCGTCGATAATCATTAATAAATTTCATACACCTACTGATACAGCATCGCTTCTTCATTATCTGTACAAGCATGTTAGAAGTTGTCTGACTATATATTTGTATAACTATTAACATTTGTCACTTATTTTGCAAACTAAATTACAATGTATATCGAAATTTATTTATCAATTATACTAGGACAATGAAATTATATATACGCATTAAAATGTATTACAGATTTGTGATAGACAAACAAAGTCAGTAGATTACTTGAACTCACCTCCTCTGCCAGTCGGGATAGACCCTCCCTCAGGGCGTAAATACTCGAGATAGGGCCGGTGTGGTGATATCTACATCAACATTCAAACCAATATTAAAATATTTCTGCTGCTTACTAAAATATATATTAATATTCGACTGGTACATTTTCCTTCAATATGGAAAAATGAATGAATCTGATTGGTTTAAACCTAATAAAAAGATTTCATGACGATGCCAGTTAAGCTTTGATCCCTTTATATTCAAATAATCTTTATATAAAAAAACCTTATCGTATTATAGTATTGATAGCTTATCGCCCTTAAACATGTTATTACCAAAATATCTCTTTGTCATTTAGTTTTGAACATGTGGTAGACTTAAAACCACACAGTAATTAAGAATGCTAACCTACCTTCGGGGTCCTTCGCCACAGCCCCAATAGTTGGCAAGGTGGTTCATATCGAAATAGAATGACCTCACGGGAACTGTGCGAGCTAATACCTTAGCTCTACAATGGGAATACAAGATTTATAAAATGATGAAAGGATCATCAACTATGGTACTTTTGACTGCAACACACCTACTACTGGATAAGAATATTGTACATATAACCGTCTCAATGGCGAGATTTATGTAGTCTTTTCTAATTCTGTATTCAAGAAGGTATTTGTTTAAAGGAGAGAGTAATTCCAAATAATTGTCTTATTTTGGCGATATTTTGTTTTTAATAGAAGGTTATTTTAGAAGGCAAAAGCGCAAGATATAGAAGGTGTTTCTGTAGATTGGTGGGTTTCTAAAGTTATGTTTTGTCTCCAAAGGATGCATAAAACTTTCTTAAAAAATACTTTGAGGATTGAGAAAGATAACTAGAGAAGCCTAATCAAGGTTGATGAACAGAAAAAATGTGTAAGGTAGATAGACACACGATGTGTGGGTGGCGTACCTTGCCTTATCCGAGAATGAGATCGGACTAGCCCCTGGAGGAGCACTCAGCACCTTCTGTGCTCCCGTATACATCACATCAATTTCTGAATAAGAAACAACACAGAGGATTAAGCTTCGCTGTCATTTAAGTTGTTCTGTCTATCATGACATGCAGCAAGTGGTAGGTTAATTTAGCTCAAACGATCTCCGACAGTATCATTCGTGCTAATACTTTAAATATGAAGCTCTTAATAATATCAGAGTTTTAACGGACATTTAACTCCCGAAAACGGGATTGTTATCGAGAGGGCTGCAGAAAAACAAAATCAAAACGTATAAAAGATAAAAGAGAGATAATACCGTCATAAACCGTTATTTAAACTCAAAATCGATCAAATTTGGAGGGAGGGGGCGAGATAACGTGCAATGATAATAAGGTCATGTGTTCGGGAAGGGTACGTGTCTTCTGCTTATATCTTTCTGCTGAAAATCTAAGCCAAATTCAAGTTATGTCATATCGTCATTGTGAGAACTAATTGAAGTGACAAAAAACAACATTGACCTTCATATCAATCAAAGAAATAACATATCTTTTGATGAGATCATGATTGTTATCATAAACCTTGTCCATACTCTCCATCAACCTGTATCTCTCCAAACTGCGCGTTTTAAGTTTGTCCGTCAGCAGTCGACATATTTCAAAGCGGTCATGATATTCAGAGTAAGCTCTAGTGTAATATGTAAACTTCGTAGGCTGGAGAAAAAAGGATGTTTTCTGTGCCGAATCTTCCAAAGAAAATTATTTCGCTAAACTAATATGGAACATCGTTTTATGAGAGGTAAGTCTGTATTTATAGAAATAGATGAATGATGTTTCAAAATATATTACTTGCACAACGTATTGGAGATATCTTAGAATATGGCTCAAAGGATGGCATTTGTATTTAGAGATGTTAATATCCAATATACTTATCAGTCAGTAATTCTGCTATTAATAACTAATATTACATAAATGATGAATATAATTCAGTTATGGTGATAACGTGTGTAGTATAAAATGTTATATTAAGTTATAATGACTAGGAATATTGATGACTATGTATAATGTGGGTTATCAACCTATATTGACCCAATGTAAACTTCGTTTAAAGTGACGTTGAATAAATATAAAACATGCGATTATGGCGATCGGATAAAAGGGTCATATTAGGCTAAAATGGCTAAGTAGAACATCAAAATTCTCAAGCTCTATTATTTAGGTATAAAATGTTGCTGTGAGATAATACAGAATGTTTTAAGTTGGGTATTGAATTATAGATGACTAAATATACAAGATTTTTTTAATTTTTATTGACTGTCTATGAAGCATTATATCAAATCATGTTGGCTTTGATAATTTTTCGAAAACGTCATTCCTTAACTGGCAAAAATATCATATCTATTGAAACATCTTCTTTTGGTGACACTTGGTGAAAGGAAGGTTGAAAAGGTCGCAGATACTTTTGAGATCAACCTTAGGATTGTTTTACCTACCCCAATCGTCCATATACATGGGGACACCACCTAGGGCCGCCACGGAGTCCACAAGAAGCAGACAGTTGTACCTTTGATTAAAACAGAATGAAATAGAACAATGAGCTATAACGTCTTGAAACATGGGAAAACTATAACTCTGAAAAACATAATACATTTAAATGGAACTGAAGAGACACTAAAATAAGAGAAATGACAACTTGAATAAAAAAACCGTACTACATGGGATAGTAGAATGTATCCTATCAGATCCAATAGGTGGACGGCAGGTCATATATATCATATTTATAGTGTAGATTTAAGACTGTCCGGTAGAACACCCTGGTTACGTTAATCTTTCAAAATACGAAACAACTGTGACATGTTAACTCTACAATCTGGTGGCATGAAAATTAATAGTAGATTGGAAAGACAAAATGACCCGTGTTTAAAGAAATATGTATAAATTGACATGTTGAAATGTACAGCTATTTGGATGAATCAAATGATTTTTTCTTGAAGAAAGAGGTTTTATCTGCGCGTATATTCATATTTCTTCAAACAATTATATGTTGGAATATGCTGAATTGTTCCGGGGAAATGTTTAATACATTGACCTCACAGAATTTTGGTTTAGAAAAATACGGAAAACAAGTGTTAGGCTGCAGTTAAATATCGGAATTAACTCACACTTCTTTTGTCATTTTTTATAACTAATTCACAGGCTTAAACTATATGACACAACATTCCATGAAATAAAAATAAAAAATCGAGATATAATACACCAATTTTACATAATATCCATACTAAATGGCTGAGTCTGCTGAATGCTGCTGCTATATGTTGTCAAAACAAAAAAAAGTTATTTTTTAGAAATGCATCAAATGAACCCCGCTTAATTCCTTTAGGGCTAAATTACCGAGCTTTAAAAATACATTTATGACATTTTGTTACACAGTAGATGCGATATTCACTATGGGTATACCGTTTTTCTTGAAATAACAGTTTCTTGCCTTTCATTTCCGATTTAGCTATAAGGCCATAACATTCAGGATTCTTGGTTCACATTTTCCTACTTATATTTTTTCCTCTGCGTCCCATTATAGGCAATTTAATTAGAATGAGTAACTGATGAATAAGAAAGTGAACAAATCGATACAGACATGAAGGCAATGTAAACCGACCGTAGGATCATAATGTCAATTTTCTATTAAATACTTTTAAATAACGGGATCAGTAATTTGTTTTAATAAATAATTAAGTAGATCAATGATTAAGGCTCTAAATCAACAGTCTCGTACTTAAACTCGACGTTGCTGGATAAGTTCATTAGCAATGGTTGTCAGTATGAGAATACGACTTGAGAATAACTTGAGAACGGATTTTTCCATTTCCCGGCATTTTTTTCCAAAAAGAACGTCTGCTCGCGCTAGATGACGTCTTAAACCGAAAGTGATATGAACACAAAAGTGATCCACACAGGAATATAGTCCATCATAATCAAATCAATATAAAGTTACGAAAACAATTGCGAGGATAATAAAACATTATCAAGCGTAAATGTGCATATTAAAAAGCCAATGACGATAGGATTGTTTTAAAAATATTTTGTTCTTCATAGTTTTAAGGTTCATTGTATTCCTCCGCGCAATCTTCTTATTTTTTAAGTTTGTCACAGACCGAGGAATTGCGATCGTTGAGCTAAGAAGTCATTTAGAAAACATGGTGTTTAGTTGACTCTTTAAATGGAGAAATATATAAGGTAGTAGTATATAAATGCTAACGTGTTTATCATACGGTATTTTGAGTGTTTGTCGTTCGAAATTTTTTCTCGTTGCTTGCACGTAGATTAAGTCTCGAGTCCATCTGTGGTTGCCTCTCGATTTTATCCACGTGCTCGCGATGAGAAAACTGTTCTCACGTCAAACCCTGAGCAAACAGTGCGGTAATCTATTGTTATTTTGTTTTTGTGTTGACGCTGTGATATATTTTGTTATTGTATGTTGACGATGTTGTATATTTCTTTTTTATATTTTTTTTTTCATTTTCCTACATTTTTTAACAAAATAAATGAACAACACGTTGAAGATAATGACTCGGGGATCAGAAGGTATCAGTTGTCGCTTAACGCTCATCTTTCCCTTATACAGCGATGACTAACTAAACCTGGATAGGTGTTCGAATGACACAGACTCGGTGACGTGCGTTATGCATAGAGTTGTGTACCTAATTATATGGTTTATAGATATTTCGTAATAGACAGGTAAGTAGAGATATACCACCATTATTTTTACAACAGTGAGTCAAAAACAATAGAGATATCCTGTATAAACATAACAAAGAAAATAACATGATTCACTACAGTTCCAAAATTTAAATTGACAAAAGGAATTAGATTAAAACAGGAAAAAATTAAATTACATATTCCAATATCAAAAATAGCATTTAAATTAAAACTGTATTCCGTTTAAAACACAAATCTCAATTTACCACTTCAGTACTCTCCTAATTCATTAATAAACGGAAGGTATTGGAGTGGTTAATTTAGATCTGTCATTCATTCAGACAGAATGCATTTTAATCGGATTTGGACGTATTTAGCAGAAACCTCAGATAAACTAATGGGAAATTCAAAACGGTTATTAATTTAGTAGGATCACACGAGTAAGGAAATTAGCATAAAATATAATGAGGTAAAAAATATTTTCAAAAAGTCGAAATGATGATATTGCAGGCAATATAAAAATGTTTATGAACATTACAATATTGCTATATATGACTGACAACCTATTGTGACGTCATCGAGTTCCTTTGCATCTTACTTGTGACACAGTTTCCCCACTCCCTCCAGAGGCTGTAGCGTCGATCCAGACGACTCCCCGTGTGTTAAGAACAACAATGCTGGTCTATATTTTCTCAAGCCCTTTCAAAAAGAAAAATAACAAGTTATCAAGACACATAACTGTCTGGGGGTGGATGAGGCAGTTACTGGTTAGAGAAGAACAATTTTTGATAGTTGATTAGTAAGTCTGTGACGTTTTCGTAAGCTGATCTCAATGCGTTACCTCAGAAACGAGTCTTAAAATTAAACAAAAAGGATAACAAATATGGTAGGCAAATAAATGCATGCTTCAGTGATAAGCGCTTGGTATTTGCTGTTCCTGAGTAAGACATTTGGTCAGGTGTTTAACTATATCTTAAGTTGTGTTTAGACTGTAAGCATCTGGCTTTGTGTACTGTTAGAAATCTTTTAACTCTGTATTTATAATGTGCTTCAAATCAACAAGTAATCAATTTGAAAGGGGAAATTAAAACGCACTGTTACTCATGAGCAAACCTCTAACTGACATAGTGATATATTTAGAAGTCCAGATATTTATCTAATCATTTTACACTGCAGTGGCTACTGGATAATGAAAATGTTTACAGGGTCGAAGAGAGGTTGTCGAAATGCATTTAAGTGCAGTATTTATTGCTGTATTGATTAAATAGAGTTCTGACCTCTTCAATTTCTGCTAGATTGAACACTTGTCCCATGGGCTTCTTTATTTTCTGGACGACAGCATCTAAAGATAAATATACAAATAATTTAAGCAATGCACAAAATTAATTTGGATAGGAATTGGTCATGTAATAATATCGCTTCAATTTTCTAGTTTCATTAATTATTCTATCAATAAACTCCTGTAAAAACAAACCTTGTAGGTAATACCACACATCTGTTAACATTCTCAATAAGACAATATGCAATATTTTTCAGTTAAAAGCAAATATCGATTTTGCAAATAAGTTAAAGTTTGATCCGTAAAAGTGCAATCGATTTTACGAGCTACATGTTATACCCTTCTTTTCAATTGAATTACATTTTATAAAAGCATTATTACACAAACCGCATTATATTTTCCGGGTTCGGGGAGTGAAAACCAATGGAAGTATCCGTTTTATTACAAAGCGGGTATCATAGAAGCATTATAGACGATAACATCGTAATCATATTCCAGAAACGCTTACTCACCATTTCGTGAGGCCATGTCGGCGAATCGATCACCCCACAGGCCGTTTACGCTCACTAGAGTAGTCTCCCCTGGTTGTAAGAGATTACAACAAGCTGCTTCCATAGCGGCATGACCTATACAGGGAGATAAAGAGATCAGGAATTAAAATACGCACAGAAGGTTGATATAGTGTAGTTTATATAATAGTACATATACACACACATAGTGGGCATATATATAAGTAACCAGAGGTGACAGACCAATGAGATTCAGTCTCATGTGTCAGGGGAGACATGATTGAACTTTTTAAAATCATGACAGGGAAATATGATTCCAAAGTGTCCAAGCTCATGTCACAAAAGGGGTCATGAGTATAAACCATTCAAGGATATAATGCGCCTAAACATGAGAAAGAATTCATTTTGTCACAGAACTGTTGACAGCTAAAACAGCCTGTCATCAGAGATGATGTTATCAATAACTATCATTTCTTTCGAGTCTTGCCTACACAATCACTGGAGAAAACAACCGATACTCTATAATTATAGAGAATCAATTTTATTATCCACCCGTAGTTAAATACATGAACTGAATATTTTTTCTAATCGTTCATTATCAAATTTATGTTGTGCAAACTAATTAGTCTAAATGGGAATTTATGCATGATTTATTTTCACCTCAAATATTAATGGTTAATGTTATTCAAATGTCCATGTTCTTGACAGAATTCTTCAAACCGTATTGAGCTGACAGCAGAGGAATTTTATAAAGTCCTACAGTCAGAATAAAATATGTGTATCAGTGTGTATCTATAGGAGTAAATAAAAGTTTCCTGTCCCCAGAGTAAAGATATATATAAAGAAACATATACTTAAAGGCATTTCGATAGTAGTTTTATTAATCAACTAAAATACCCCTCACCGTACATGTTCAAAAACGTTCTTGAGACACACAAGCATAAACAATTTATTTAAGGCGTATACATCTTCACTTCAAACATTTACATAATTGGTTCTTGTGTGAGCAGGTAAACAAAGTTTTTAACCAGATCGTTTAATTTTTTCCCCCAGATCATGATTGCTATGCACGAGTAGTATCTTAGTTATCAAACAAATTAAATTATTTCTTTTTTGAATCACCGGTTTCAGAAGGGGCTTGCGAGGAGTTTTTGAACGTAACAACAGTTGGGTACAACTGCAGTAGTCATGGTAACTGATAAAGGACAACCAACTCCTGTAAATACTGAGAATCTTTTCCATTTGATTGCATGCGTGCATCTACATTTTTCTGTGGACTGTATATCGTACAGGGAACTATTGTTTGTAGTCTTTTTGTATTCATCAAATTTCTTTTTGACACATGTTTCTTATTAAAATTAGTTCACCATTTCAGCAATATTTGAAGTGAGATGGATCACTTGCAAACGTGTCCACGGATTCACTTTGAGTAGATTATTTTTGCCTGCTAATAAGATGGCAAGGTTTTGCATCTTAAAGCAGATCGTTTCTTGACAGTTGTCTAGATATCAACATGGATAGCTTGAATTTAACATCTTTCTTGAAGCATGATGAAACCTTTAACTCGGCCAATGACTTTATGCTTTGTATGTTCAACGAAGGTAGTGCTTCAACATATTAATACAGTAGACATGAAGGAAGAGAATCCATATTTTGAGGCTTTGATTGCGATTTTGTGATGATCTTTTCTTGTTGCAAGCTTTTCCAATGACTCGGCATCAAATTGCGGGGCTGATTTGTGACATTTCGTTGTTTCGTTTGTTCATTCTCGTCTTTTCAGGGCGAAAATGAAAAACAACGAGAATCAAGGTTTGTTAATCATCGTCCTTTTGCCCCGAAAAGACGACACAACGAGATTTAAGGTTTGTTAATTGTCGTCCTTTCGAAACGAAAAGACGAAACAACGAAAAGATGACATTTCTATCCCGAAAAGACGAGACTTTGAGGTAGCTAATTAGCGTGCCATTTTTTTTGTCTTTTCGCGTGTGATTTCTCATCTTTTGGCAAAAAAACAGCTTTAAGGATAACTTCTTTTAAATGTGTGTTAAATGTCGTCCTTTCGGAGTAAAAAAACGAAACAACGAAACGGCACAAATCACCCACCGTATAAAATAGGATACAATCAGTCATGTTTTTCTTATATATCTGATTTGTCCTGGAAGTAATCGCTGAACTCGTCGGCAAAATTTGTTTTCTTCATAAGGACAATATTGATCTCATTATTTCACCCTTTTGCTTGTAAGATGTTTGCAAGTTCACTTTTCTTCCCTAATTCTCTGATTTAATCTGAATGATAATCCTTCCTGCATTGAATAAGTTCATCTCGTAGCAGATATAAATCTCTGTGCGAGCGCTGTAAGATGATCGATTTAGTCCTGTGTCATTGCCTTACTGTTTATCTACGCTTGTTTCCATGTGTTTTTCATAACTCATCATCGCATCAATGATCATTTGGTCTCTAATCGTTATCAGTGTTTATCCTGAACTTGAATGAGCTTGTTTCTCGATCAGAGATCAGTACCAGTGTTTCAGAAGCCGTTCTGTTCAGGAGAAGCTTCTTTATGGCAAATCATCTGAATCGTGTATCAACACCTCGGAAAAGACCATGTGCTCTAAATGTATCAACGTATCGTCTGGGTTGAAAAAGAGATTTCTCACATTTTGGCCATTTTAAAGAAAAAAAGCAACTACGTTGTTTGCTCTGCGATTTCAAGCATCCTGTTTGATTATGTAGTTTTTCTGTACTTGCTTCGCTAGAACTTGGTAATAAACTTGGGAATCTAGCCAATTATCCTAACTTATTCTTCACAGAGTGATGATTCAGAAAATGTGATTAAATGAAATAACTGGACTTGTAGGTTAAGTAATTGGTCTAGTGGTACAAATACTTGGGAGACACTGTCTTAAGCAATGATGATTCCTCATACAAAGATTAAACCTTTTTTTTTTTTTTTTTTTTTTTTTTTTATCAAATTAAAACTGCTCCAAAAAAAAAATGCAACGGCGCTGTTGTAGATGATAAATGTAGGATAACACGGCAGGCAGACAAGTCAGTTATTTGATTATCTTGACTGGATTACTTGAATTCACATCGTACTAATACCGTGAAAGTGGAATGCTTTGCGGTGTGGAAATGCTTGCGTTTTTCGAGATGTGTGAATAAGCGCGAACATATCCATACGCGAATTTTTTGTTTATAAAATGCAATAGATTATAGATACATAAACCCACTACCAATGCATTTTTTTTTACAGTAGACCAATATCTTACTTGAGAGCGAAATCATTAAGTGCACAGTGACACATTGATACCCTAGTGCAAGTAATTGTCCTATTTGACTTAGTGAGTACTCGTATATAGCACACATCAGGTGACAGGTCGATGTACCCAACGATGTGTGTAATTTTCAATGGTACTCGGCTACGGCTGACTGAACACAGTGAATCAAGTGTGGGGAAAAACCTTTCACCATGCAATGTAGGTTAGTATCCCAACGTTCTTTAAGTCTTCGAAAAATACTGGATTAAAACATTATTATATTTTGTGGCCAATGGCTCGGAAAAATATAGAAGTCATTTGATTTAGTGCATAAAGGACAACCAGTTTAGGAAGAGGGAGTTGGGATCAGAATAAGACAAAAAGCCAAACTGCGTTAATGCTCGACTGTCACGCCTAAGGAGATGATTATATTTTGGGAAATCAGGGGCATATTTTAGTCTATGAAACAAGGTAATCTCAAGGTTGTCAAGGTTGCATATAAAAGTGCATTTGAACGGGAAAAACACTACCGCGAAGGTGGCCAGGCTAAGAAAGTGAGTCTCCAATGGGTACTCTCTAGAACTTCAACCACTATATATGTCGTTTGGTTATCTGTCTGACATGTCCCTTGTCTATTTCATTGAGTACAATGATTTATAAATCAGGACTACCAAAATGACTTGATGAGTAACAAAAATAGTACAAGCACCGATTTAACCGTTTTTTTCCCGATTTGTATTTCATGTCCTATCACAACTATATTTGTGACTACATTGTACATGTATGAATATAGGGTATATGTAATGGTGACTGATACCTGTTCCAGACACGCAGACAGTCCAATTATTTTTGGTCTGGAAGGCGTACTTGATACCATTCTTCACTTCGTCCATTATCTATTCAAATAAAAAAACAAATACATTATGTCAGTGTGTTCAGACTGAGGTACATGTACATACATATATACCTGTAGTACTTTTAGATTGACAAATGATTGATGCAATTTAACATAAAAACCTTCTCTCCTTTACACTCTATTTACAGTGTTTATTACGTAACCTCCCAGCGTATGTTGAGGTACAATTGTAACTCAGGTAGACAATCCTGGCAATCTGTATTTAGATAATATATACCTTATCTAGGGTTACATTGACATTACAAAATATAACATTTTATTTACCAGCACGAAATGACAAATTCAGTTAAGCGCGTATGCGCTTCATTTTGAGTTTTTCATTTCCATTTGGTTATAATATTGGCTATCATCATTAAACAAGATTTAACATGAAAAGAATCGTAAAAAATATCTTCATTTAGAGAATATTTACATACTGTTTCTACAAAACTTTCACTTTTATCATGTTATAACCTTCAGGACTCGCACAACTAAATCAACCAATCAGCAAGTGTTTCATACGATTTCAATCCCAAATTTGTTCCGGGTTAAGACAGTGCCTCTTAGTAATTGTTGACATATTTTACATTGAATGAAATCTACAGATATTGAACTTTAGAAAAATGTATAGTTTTAGTAGATTTTAAAATGTAATGCCTGATTGATATGAGGTCAAATGTTAGGGGGTGTTCCCGTCCCATTTCACCGGTTTGGCTTGTAAACTTCCGGTTGTCAAAAGCAGACGCCTGTAGGGATCTTAAATGCCACCAAACTCACAAAAAAAATGCCTTTTGAATCCTTTGTAAGGTATGTATCTGTGAATCTAGAAAGTTGTCACTAGTGTTGAACTTCAAAAATTAACGCTATTAGCTCAAAAGCTTATTAATAACATATAGTAGATGATTTAGATGTGTGAGCCCTTCACAGTTGTGAGATGAAAAATTGAAATATTTCCCCCGATGTGTTTCACCGACCCCAAGCATGATTACTCAACGCAAAAAAATAATAAAAAAGAAAACCAATCGTCACCACTGTCATAAAATGATTGACCGCTGATTAGTCTAAAAAACATTACGGAAACACCCGAGCAATTTCCGATTAGAAACATTCACGGATTTGCTTTTTTTGATGCTTAATAATGGAAGAAAAATAGAAAAATAGAACCTGTGTTGTCGGCAAGTCAGTTTATATATGCCATGATCATGACCCTATGAACAGTTTGCCTTATAAACAGACAGTTCAGTGTACATGTACTAGGTTGATAGCACGTGATACAGAACATCGAGTATATTTTTATAATTCTTAATGAATTCGAGTACACGGTGTGAGAAGAAACAATACCCTTCAGGGATGTATAGGCTGGGCCATGTATCTTATTCATTCCACGTCTCTTTCAGAAAAGCTGAGAATTGTATGAGAAGTTTTTATTGTAATATACACTATCATTCCGCCTTAGCTACCATTATTTATTTTCTATTGAAAGCTTTATATTTCACTAAACCATATAATGCATTTTATTTTATTTCTATAACGTCAAGTAAACTAAAGTGATAAGCGTTGAAACTTGATACGAGTGGTATTCAAAATAGCTTCATTTATCAAATGCATGGTTAGATTACAAATATTTGTACGCAGTTTTGTTAGTGTTGAGTTTTTTCTTTGAAAGTTATTTTCCGAAATGAACATACTTGCTTATGGGTTCAAAATAATCACGTGAATATAAAACAAACCCTTTATTGTAATAATTTTAAAGCAAAGACTTTTAATGACATGGTTATAATTGTTTTGTGTTACGAATCGTGAAACTGACATATCTTTGAAAGCTTGGTCGTGGTCATGGTTGAGTAGCAAGGTACACATGGACCAAGTCACAGGGATGTTTTGCCTCCTAAGTATTCGGGGTATATATATATATGCTAGTAACACTATACCGTACACGACACATGTGTTCACCAGCCTAGCTATCTTAACAACACTTTAACCTATATAATCATACGGCATATCTGGATATACAAATCCAGGTTATAACGTTTCGAACATATTTATCCTATATGATGTATATTCAATATTATATTTATTCAAATGGCTACATGAGGAAAATATTTTTGTAAAATATTTATAAAAATCTCGTCCCAAAAGTTGTGTTGATGACTTGATAATCTAACGACACTGAACAGCAGGGGACTTTATAACATATATATAAAGTATGGTTAGCTTACAACTAAATTTATGAAGAATTTAATTTGAAAAATGTTTAATTTAAGACTTATTTAAATGTAGTTACAGGAAATGATTATCAGCATAAATAAAAAAATACTTGGGTGTACAGAATTATATATGTTTCTTAATTGATGTTACCGAAATCACATGTTTTTGTAGATGTATTATTATTATCAAAAAAGGCGCGGAGATAACCATGCTTGGTGTGTAATGTCAAACGTGTTGACGAATAAATGCTGAATAGATACAACAATGTGACGCCACATACTGTCTGTGTCAGGTACGTATCATTATAATAATTCAGTTTGTCCAGCTTCCCAATTGTCTATTAATCTGAATTAAAACTAATCGTATCCGGAATAATAATTGTAAAATAATGAAAGCGACTGATAAATATCCCCAAATGTAATTAATTGCAATCATCATCTGAATAGGTAAAGCAACTAGTTATTAAGATATAACTTAATTAATATGATTTCATTAATTTGGACTGTCCAGTCAGAGGACTTGACCAAACACCCATCAAATGCCTGTTAATGAGCAACCACTCTTACACAGGTAAAAGTCTCTGCGTCAGTGAAGCTGTATGACGTACCTTGGTAAACTCGGGGTGGAGATGGCCCAGGGCGGGTAGGGCGCCGGCGTTGAGTATCCTAGGGGGACAGTTTGAGGGGCCGGGCCCCATCAGCAACTTCCGTGGAATATCCATCGGATGGAAAAGACTTTCGGGTGGGGGTGACAGGGAACTCATCTTGGCCCCTAGAATCCAGGTAAGCGCTGACAGGTGTGGGTTGTTTGGGGACAGCAGACGATTCCCTGTTACTGCCGTACTATGTATCGACAATTTCCGCATCACGGAGTACGTTCGTGGCATACTAATGAATCTCAGTGACTCCATTTTTAGTTTTTTGGACGGAAAATTGTCACCCTGTACAATTCAGACCCTAAGTTAGTGTCTTCGGGAGATAGTGGACACCAAATGGGTCACTCCATGCTAGATAGTGTCCGTGTATTATTTTAAGCTAAACTAAATATACAGGTGTACGGTGACCCATGATAAGGGGTGAAATTGATAACAAACTACTCGAATTATGTAGACATGTAATAGGATACAGGCCTACCCCTATCCAACCTCACCAGCAACTCCATGAATCCCTCATATAAAACCGACAGAAGGTTTTCATTTCAAGTCTATAACTATAAAAAGTATTATTACACTATTGTAATATCAAGCCTCATATTCTGTGGCATTTTGCCAAAGGACGAACATTATTTTATCACCATGACGCCGTCTTAGTAAATATACAATTTTAATATGACATTGTTTTGCGTATAATAGCTATATAATAGGTACTTCATGTTATAATCCCAATTATGACGTAAATTTAGTAATATACATGACGTCACGACGATGTGATGTCACATATTATATATACATCAATAGACTCAAGGGCAAAATGGCAACAGTGAAAGATTGGCGATGGTAAGAAGAACAAATTTTTCGCGAATATTCTCATACATTCTTGCCAATTCATAGAGGGGCGTTGCGAAAAAAGTTAACTCCAATACTCATAAATCTCCTAAAAATGGAAACACTGTGAGATGTGCGACATTAGGATGACAAAAATGAGTGCAATGTCTAACAAATACATGCCAAAGCAATAAAAAAAGTTTCTTTATTCAAACGTATATGTTTTATGAAGTGAGCTTTAGCGAAATGGGAATTCGACAGAGATCTTCTATTTATGTACAATGTTAAAAAACGGGGGATTCATTTGAGACTGTCTATGTATGTGTGACAAAGAAAGCCTTTGTAATGTCCCATGTAGACACGATGAGTTTGTTACATTGAAGCGGCAAGCATGCAATACAAGTGTTCGCTGTGGTGTTGCGCGTTTTCATAAAGTAACGCTATATAAATGCTAAAATCTCGTGATATTTTCAGGAAATTGATGCTACAAAATGTATGTTTATTTTGGGGATTCATGATAAGCAGCTGGTAGAGTAACGTATTATCTAAAGGGGAAAAGTTGGAACAAAATATTTAATATTTTAAAGGCCATGCAAATATAATTTTCTTGTTAAGTAATCTGTTAGCACAAATATCTGTTATTCTACTTGATATTTTGGTACGAATTATTTGAAAATTAATTGGAAATGATTGTACAAAAGCATATGATATTTAAGTGATTATTAACACAAAATCTCTGTTAGTTAGATAGAATTGTTAATAAAAATAATATGATGATTGAAAGTACTACCTCCCTGCTATTTTAAAGGATATATTGATGCGAATCCTCTCATATTCAAAAAATATGTAATTGCATTCATCAAATTTCTTTTTGACACATGTTTCTTATTAAAACTAATTCACCATTTCAGCAATATTTGAAGTGAGATGGATCACTTGCAAACGTGTCCACGGATTCACTTCGAGTAGATTATTTTTGCCTGCTAATAAGATGGCAAGGTTTTGCATCTTAAAGCAGATCGTTTCTTGACGGTTGTCTAGATATCAACATGGATAGCTTGAATTTACTCTGACGTTTAATAACAAAGGACGTTAATACACACGCAACGATTGTAAAACGACTTTGTTCTACATTTTTAAATCTGTGTGAGCGGCACACTTTTCCCTTCGTTCAAAACGGGGCTCACATGTGTTTCTTTACTTTTCCAGAGCATGGGTTTCCTTCTTTATTGGAGGCGACTCGTGGTTACTTTTGTTTTGTCTTTTGTTACTGTTATTGTCATGTCGTACTGCCTTTTGTTCCCGTTATTGTCATGTCGTACTGTCTTTTGTTCCCATTATTGTCATGTCGTACTGTCTTTTGTCCCCGTTATTGTCATGTCGTACTGTCTTTTGTTCCCGTTATTGTCATGTCGTCCTGTCTTTTGTTCCCGTTATTGTCATGTTGTACAGTCTTTTGTTCCCGTTATTGTCATGTCGTAATGTCTTTTGTTTCCGTTATTGTCATGTCGTACTGTCTTTTGTTCCTGTTATTGTCCTGTTGTACTGTCTTATGTTCCCGTTATTGTCATGTCGTTCTGTCTTTTGTTCCTGTTATTGTCATGTCGTACTGTCTTTTGTTCCCGTTATTTTCATGTCGTACTGTCTTTTGTTCCTGTTATTGTCATGTTGTCCTGTCTTTTGTTCCTGTTATTGTCATGTCGTACTGTCTTTTGTTCCCGTTATTTTCATGTCGTACTGTCTTTTGTTCCCGTTATTGTCATGTGTTACTGTCTTTTGTTCCCGTTATTGTCATGTCGTTCTGTCATTTGTTCTCGTTATTGTCATGTTGTACTGTCTTTTGTCCCCGTTATTGTCATGTCGTACTGTCTTTTGTTCTCGTTATTGTCATGTCGTACTGTCTTTTGTTCCCGTTATTTTCATGTCGTACTGTCTTTTGTTCCCGTTATTGTCATGTGTTACTGTCTTTTGTTCCCGTTATTGTCATGTCGTTCTGTCTTTTGTTCCCGTTATTGTCATGTTGTACATTCTTTGGGTCCCGTTATTGTCATGTCGTAATGTCTTTTGTTTCCGTTATTGTCATTTCGTACTGTCTTTTGTTCCCGTTATTGTCATGTGTTACTGTCTTTTGTTCCCGTTATTGTCATGTCGTTCTGTCATTTGTTCTCGTTATTGTCATGTTGTACTGTCTTTTGTCCCCGTTATTGTCATGTCGTACTGTCTTTTGTTCTCGTTATTGTCATGTCGTACTGTCTTTTGTTCCCGTTATTTTCATGTCGTACTGTCTTTTGTTCCCGTTATTGTCTTGTCTTTTGTTACTGTTATTGTCATGTCGTACTGCCTTTTGTTCCCGTTATTGTCATGTCGTACTGTCTTTTGTTTCCGTTATTGTCATGTCGTACTGTCTTTTGTTCCCGTTATTGTCATGTGTTACTGTCTTTTGTTCCCGTTATTGTCATGTCGTCCTGTCTTTTGTTCCCGTTATTGTCATGTTGTACATTCTTTTGTTCCCGTTATTGTCATGTCGTAATGTCTTTTGTTTCCGTTATTGTCATGTCGTACTGTCTTTTGTTCCCGTTATTGTCATGTCGTTCTGTCTTTTGTTCCCGTTATTGTCATGTTGTACTGTCTTTTGTTCCCGTTATTGTCATGTTGTACTGTCTTTTGTTCCCGTTATTGTCATGTCGTACTGATATATGAGTCTCAATTTGGTTTCGTTAAAGCCAGGATTAATTTTATGGCTTTTTTCTGAAAAAAGAAGGAGATTTATGTGCAACTTTTTTCCTCGATCTTAAAAATCAGTTCCTCGATCTTAAAAATCAGTACCAGAAATGAAACACACAAACTCAACGGGTTTTAAATTGAAACGTGTTTGACATTACATTGTGTTGAATTGCTATGTCTGTGTGGATTTGAATTTTTGTGCAGTCGTTTTATGTATAATTGAAAGAGTACCCCAAAGTAAACAAGGACAAATTCTCTACGCAAAACTTTTCTGACTGGAAAACTGAGGAGACGAAATCAGAACTCAAAGAGTTGATATACCCAATTAACATTTTCGCGGCTTCGCCTCAGGAAATAAACCTTGCCTCGAGGAACGAGAATCTTGCTATATCCTTCAAGCCAATATTTTACCCGTATTCTTATTCAAAAAGAGTAAACACCTATATTAAGCTAGCCGAGTGTATTACACAATTTGAAAGTAAGCACTCTTCGAACATTGTCTAGCCGATTCCCTGAAAGTATGCAAAAGAATTGGAAAGTTTATTAGGTGTTGATATTTGAACTTCATTAGGCCTTTGGCAAGTAAATCTTGAAGTGAGGTATTATCATCACCGCATGCGAGCTCATATTTCTACTAAATTATATAAAACATATTTAATCAGGATGAAAGTTTAATTCAAGGATGTCTCTTATTACATATATTTTCTCAACTGAATTCCAATGTCTGATATCCACAATGGACGATCTAGCTACCAACACCAGTGTTTACTAACCTATCAAGTCATATGGTCCTCACGTGACAATCCATTGACATTACGTCAATAAATCTTGTCAACGTACGTCTGTATCGACATGTGTTTAGAGGGAGTAAACTCAATATTCACACCCCGGAGGTTTATACAGTCTAGACATACCGTTGTTCTTGGAACCTTAACCTTTCAAAATAAAAATGCATATCTAGACTTGATACCACATATCGACTGCCATGTGTCTGTACTAAATTGTTAGTGTCGCAACCTGAAATGATCATTACTTATAAAAAATGCTGGATTTGCCAGACAGACGTCACTTTTATTCTATCCTTAAGCATTTTTGTAAGAGTACACCTATGTTAGCGTACTAATGACATTTAGAAATGGTTTGACTTCCAACTTGCGGAATCCATTGGTCGTTAGATGATATATTTTGTTGGCCATATAGTGACAATAAATTTACGCATAAGACTAGCTGTGTTGCGACCTTGTTCAAGGTTTCATCTCCAAACTATTTTATTTGCGTTTTATAATTGAATATGTATTGTATTTGAATCGATCAGAGTTGTCAGACATTTCTGTTTTCGTAGTTTCACTATTGTATTAGAAACAAAGAATTTACAGCTAGTTCATCTGATTAATCAATGGAATTCATTTAAGTATCCTATTTAAAAAAAAAATATTTTTGACAAATCTCTTCTTATTACCTCCCCTTGTATCTGCGTCATCTAAGGTTAACGATGAGCCTTCCGTGATATATGATATTGAATGACAGCTGTTTTGGTTTATTGCTGTTCGTGGACAACGAGGAACACACATGGATCTGCTACCCTGTAGCTTTTAAATAATAGACAAGATTATGCAACTACTCATTAAAATGGACCGGTTAAATGTATCACTTGGCGAAGGTTACATCCCCTTCCCCGTCCGATTCCCGACATTGTTTTCCCCTCAAACGATTCCTCTGTTCAATTTTTTAGTTTGCATTCCAAGGTTTTGGATGGAAATGCTATAGTACATTAAACTTTTACCGAATTGTTTAAAAAAAAATAAAAAATTAAAGAAACACGAATGTAAAGTATAAATATAAATGT